TGCTGTCGTTTTTATTGTTTGTGTCAGTGGGTTCAGTGAGTCCTTCCCTTCTCTGACGCTGCCCTTCGTATCGCTATATGCAACCATGCCTGGGTTCGATTTCTTGTTAGCGCTTGAGGTTTAGTAATCTTAATTAAATTCTACAAATTCTTGGACAGAGAGAATTCGGTTACATTCTGGTTCCACGTTTCCTATACACAGCTTCCCGTGACTCGCAACACGTGCAGTTGTGTAACATTTTAGTCTGGCCATGGCTCTCTTAACTGATATAGCCTGAGGCCCGAGTGTCTCCCGGTCCTGGTGCCGAGATTCCAGAGGCCAAAACTACTCTGAATCACTTGGCACGAGAGTTTGATAAAGTAACAAGTAATAAATTAAATGCTGCTTGTGAGGTTCATATTTACTAGTGAATTTTTTACAGAGAAGCAAATTTCTGAGGATTGTTATTCCGTGTAATGCGTGATATGGGCTTACGAGACTTACGAGACTTATCTATTTACAACATATGAGCCACACTATTCCTGTCAATAACAGATTTACGATAAAGTCAAGGCAAAATCGTTTCTTGCGGGACAAAGCGAGTCATCCCGAGTGGGCAAGATCGGGAACTATCTTGCTCGCTCGGGTAGCCAATCAGAATTAAGGATTCGCCTCGTCTTGCTCGTTTGTAACCGCGTTGCAGCCAGACTTGTCACTAGAGACCCAGATAGAGAACTCGATATCTTGACTGTCTGCGACTCAGACTAGCTTGTTCGCGGATAATAATAAAAACACAGGGCATTTTTCTGCATTAAGCATTTACATGTATACAAAGGGCTACACTACCGGGCTTCCCAGAAAATAGAAATCATTTTTTTCAATCGCTTCAGCTTGTATCGGTGAAGAGCTTTCATCCCTATCCAACCCAGCGGTACTGATACCTACATCCCTTTCGTTAAATATATAATGAACAGTACGAAGCATTTTTGATGGGTACGGAAAGGCCGAAAGGGGACAAAGATCAGTTCGCTTCACTCGATTTCTGGATTACAGATTAATGTTTGACTAGGGGCGTTCATTTAGTCTCAAATATAATCTGATTCGGCCTCCGTATTAATTAACAATCCCTAGAATTGTAGCGACCCCCTCTGTACGTTCAACAAGCGTTCTTTTCCCTCTAGCGTTTTGAAATTTGACTATGTTAAAATAATAATGGTGGGCAGAAAGAAAGAAAGTACCCGGTAGTGTCGAAAACACCAAAAATAAATTATGTATTAATTGCCCTCGCAGGGATTTCGCCCGGAAGGCGAAATTCCGAGGAGGCACCCTAGTAACTCGCGCGTATATTAAGGAAAGTACTTACAGTTGAAATATACAGTCATACAGTCAATATAGAAAAAAATCTCGATTTGCTTGAACAGGGGCCGCGAAGAATCGGTAGGTAATGATGACGTTTCTATTGTTTGCGCCCGCAAGTACGAAATGGTTAGGATGACGTAAAACACAAAAAATCCCGCAGGGACCGTTTACAATGAGTAGATTTTGTGACATTAATTGTGCAGTCATACTTCGATACTCTTTTGCGTTACTTGTTATCAGTGACATTCTGTGGAGCAGTTGTCATGAAAGTTATGGACCAAAAGACACTCGTTAAGCGCAGATGAAGTTATAAGGTGCGTATAACAGTGTATATTTTAACACTTTTAAAGTGACGGTTTGCCAGACACGAGTTCACAAATCTTTGATTGGAAACCTTGCCAGACACTCTTTCTCTTTCTTTGACCGGAATAAGACTCGGCCCCAAACAAGCAAGACGAGTGAATGATTCAACGGCTAGCTTATCACTAGCAGAACGATGGACGATTACAGAAATTCGCCGACCATCAAATTCTGTGCTGACTTATTCCCTGCTCACAGATGTCCTTCTGCTATAAAGTTTAAAATAAGACTAGAATGCGCGAGCGTGAATCTTGAATTGATCAAACGTCCTTTTAATTTCTATGGCTTGCTTTCCGGCAAATAAAATGAACTAAATGTGAAAAGTGAAATAGAAATAGCGAAAAATTAAACTTCTAATTACATCTTTTCCTATGGTTTAGAATAAACTATTCTCGAAACGGAGAATGTTTTGATCAAAGCTGTGTAAATCGAACCGAAACTGTGCATGGAACCTTGCGTTTATTTCCTGCATTTATCTCACCTATTGTATGGAATATGTGTGAACATCTTCATTATGAATCGGTATATTTCAAAGAGCTACACAACGAGCAAGAATACTATTGACCGACAATATACAGAGCGGGGGCAGCTGTAGTTTCAACTATTACTATAGTTAAGTATTATAGACACGAATGCCGTAAAGCTTATTGCGACTTTCTGCTCTGCCTTGTTGGTTTAAGCCAGCAGTAATTAATGGACCAGCAAAAAAGTTGCTCACTCAAATTGGCGCTAAAAAAGGCGCGGCAAAGACGCCCGCATACTTTTCAGTTCAATTTATTTCTTTGCGCCTTTTTCCATATTTTACATTCCGCATAATTATGTCATTCCGCAAGCCATGCCACATGCCATTCCGCAAACTCATTCTGCCTTTTACCCTCACCGCTGCATCGGTTTTTTGATGTAATTGTATCTGTTCAATATAATAAAGTTGTTATATGGATTTTCACCCCGCACCGCCTGCTTGCCAGACATTGTCTCGTCCCAATCTCCTCACATACTAATCTCCACCCGCCGCGAGTTCAAACCGTTATCGCGAACAAAATGAAAAACTAAAATCACTGTAAAATGGTTCACCAAAAAAAGACTGTTCCCTAGTCTCCGGTGAATTCGTTCGATTACTTCTAGCTCAGTGTCGTGTAGGTGTCGACGGGCCTGTGAGACAATGCCAGGAATTCTGTCGAAACAATCACCAATATAGCCCTCATAGATGATAATCGATGATCACCCCAACATGGCGTTGTCTCTGCGCGAAACGGGTTCGTGACGCGCGTCGGTCTCGTTCCGAACATTTTCGGAGAAGCGGGCAAATCGATATTTTCAACCTATATATTTTTCAGGCTGTACAACATATCATATCGAGTTTCAAGTGACACATATATATATGTTCAACTTAACAACCTGTATTTGCCTCACCGTAAGCTATCTATACGCAATTTTCAACCCATTTATAACACGGTGCAGCGATACAACCTATATTTTAGTTTTCAACACTTTTGCCACGCTTGGTGTTCCATACACAGAGAAAGGTCATAAGTTTAGAAGGTGGAAAACAAACGCTGGCAACACCCCTGGTAAAACAAAAAGGTTCTTTGTTTTTAAAAGCCTTTTGTGCTTACCGCTGATAAATGGCTGCTTGATCACTTCGAGGATGGCACGTAACATAAACAACCATTCGTATTTTTACAAAAAAAAAAAAAACACCTCCATACATTTTTTTTTATCAGGTAGAGATAAGGAAATCTGCAAAGTTTCATAGGATCCTTTGCAAACTCATGGTAATATGGGAACTGGAACGTGCCAATTCATCTATAGAGATGCAAATAGAGTCAAGTGCTTGCCCCCTGGCATATACAGTCAACTCTCTCTTACGGACACCTCTATAAGACGGACACCTCTGTAAAACGGACACTTAGAGTTGGTCCCTGCCTTTCTTTACCCTCTTTATTTGACTCTCTATAAGACAGACACCTCTCTAAGACGGACACTTAGTGCCGGTCCCAAAGGTGTCCGTCTCAGAGAGAGTTGACTGTATGTCTGCAAAGTTTGGCAAGTTTGGCGTCCTATATTTCCATACTTTTGCAACTTAATCCCGTGAAACTTTTCTTTCTTACTAATTTGGACATGAACAAGCCAGCGATGAGGTTGATATTTCCTTAGCCTGTTCCAGGCTATCGGTAGTTGGGGAGGAGCGAAAAAGAGAGGGCGAGCGAGAGAAAAAACGAGAGGGCCCCCTCGTTTTTTCTCTCGCTCGCCCTCTCTTTTTCGCTAATATTTCCTTTGAATGAAAAATCGGGAAACTTGACACAGGCGAAGTGGGCCATAAGCAAATAATCAGATAACAGAATTAAAGAGAGGAAGGAGCAGAATATTGGTCTTCAGTTCGAAGTTTTAATTTATCAATTAGTAGTCAAATGGAAAAAATATTTTTAGTGAAAGTATTAAAATAGCTTTATAGGTTTGAGTGTCAAAAGCTGTACTGTACATGTCTTAGGGCAGTATTAGCATTTTTACTCCATGCAATTATATTTGTTTTTGCGGATTAAAGCGTCTGGTCGCACTGATGTATCCAGACAAGGAGGTTTTTAATCACGTTGATCTGGCTAACGGGATAATTTCGTTAACTATGACGGAACTATGAACCGTTAGTTGGATTTTTTTAGCACGGTTTTTGTTAACTACCATGAAATGATCTTTACTCCGCTGTTCGTGGCCTTGCTCGTGAAGTAAATTAGCACGAAAAGTCCAATAAAGAACATATTGGTAGTCTTTACACTAGAGCCTAAATAAGCTAAGAAATATTTCAAGACAAGTAAATTTTAATTACTTCAAGTAAAATAAAGCTTCACACGCAACCCATTTTTTTTTTTTTACTTCAGGTTAACTAAGGTCATTTTCCCACGCAACATCACAAATAGACCTACATGTATTCGGCTAACTCAATGTTGTACCCAATTCAAATCTCCTGGGGATAAGATTCTTTGTGTATTGTATTTGCATTATAATGTGGCATTCACATTTAAATGATATGGAAATTTCTGAAACAAAACGTTTTATTCCCAGAAGGTTTGAATTGGGTACAACATTGAGTTAGCCGAATAGGTCTATTGAAGTACGCCTTGTCTGAGAATTTGCATCCGGTTATCAAGTATCCGAACAAAGGCTTACTGCATCATTGCACTCTCATTACAGCGTCAATTGCGCAAGTGCAGGTACACAAAACTCCATAAAGAATAGACGCACTCAATAGGAGTGCATCATTTAACGGAAAAACGAGCAGCGAACCACACGCTACTGGCGCAATCATGAGTTCCAAACCTCGTCGTGGTCAATGGCTTCCCTCCGACCCTAAAGTTCTTGATGAATGGTTAGACAACTTGATCAAAGAAGTCAAAGCCGACCCGATCTGCCAAGCAAAGTTAAAGGCGATTGAGGATCAACACCCTCCAGCTGAAGACGAAGAAAAAGCTGAGGTAGCCATGGTTAAGCTTCCACCTCCACCTCCTCCTGCAGACGAACGGTGCCGTCTCCATCCACCGGTTGAAGAGTTGAAGAATGCCATTCTTACCGACCCTGAGATCAACATGTTTTTCCATCAAATGTTCTGGCAACAGTATTTTCTCCCAGATTCTTCACAAGGAGTCAAAATTCCGACCTGGCAGTTGATGATTTTGTTGATCGACCGCATCATGACAAAAGCTCCTAAGTTCAACGGCTCTGATTTGGTTGGCTTCCCCATCAATGTAATCTTGAACTGGCCGATGAATACCACTGCTGGCTTTGCTGCTTTCCTGAACGACAAAGTCAACAATTACTTCAAGGCGATTCTCAACTACTGGGCAGAAACCTGGCTGAACACTCCAAACTCTTGCTCTGTTCTGACCACGGACCCTGGAGGTTGGTTTAGCGAAGAGGCAATGAAGAAAATGCCAAACTTTGTTGAAGAATTTGAATGCCACCCAGAGCAACCCCATTATGGCTTTAAGTCATGGGACGATTTTTTTACCAGAAAGTTTCGGACGAAACCTGATGTTCGTCCAGTAGCATCCCCAGACGACGATTACATTGTTGCAAATGCCTGTGAATCGGCGCCGTACAAGTTGGCTAGAAACGTTAAGCACAGGGACTTCTTTTGGATAAAAAAGCAGCGATACTCGTTGGATTTCATCCTGAACGGGAAAGAAAAAGCCCAGCCATTTTATGGTGGAACCGTGTACCAAGCATTTCTGAGCGCCTTCAGTTACCACCGATGGCACAGCCCCGTGACTGGTGAAATCGTTGGAACGGAGCTTGTGGATGGTTCCTACTACTCGCAAACCCACAACATCCAGGACGACCCAGCATCACCCAACATGTCACAGGGATACATTGCTCAGGTAGCCGCCCGGGGTATTGTTTACATTAAAGCTAAAAACCCTCATATTGGCTTGATGTGCTTCGTATCAATCGGTATGTCAGAAGTGTCTACCAACGAAATCACTGTTAAGAAAGGGGATAAAGTAAAGAAAGGTGACCAGCTTGGCATGTTTCACTTTGGTGGCTCCACACATTTGCTGATATTCCGCCCAGAAGTGGACATCGAGTTTGATCTTGGAGGTCAAACACCAGGTCTGGATTCACATAATATCAACGTCAAAGCTAAGATTGCTGAAGTGAAAAAGCCAAAGAAGTGAGAAGAGTTGCGAGGATTTTAAAAGACATTGAACTGTTGTGAGTTGACATTCCTAATTTTAACTAACTACGTTAGGTTACGACATTGTGAGTGATTTTTAGCGTTGTAGAGAATTACCTGTAAACTGGGTGAAACCTTGAAAAAATCGTTTTCTTACCGTGATAAAGCTGTACCAGAGAGGTAATTGCTGCGAGGTCCGTGTACCTTCCGTCCATTTGATTTTGAGAAAAATTAAAAATTGAAAATCGATATGCTTAATTTTTGATTTTAAATTTTTGTTTGCTAGGAAAAAAGAAAATTGAAATCATTTTTCAATTTCGGAAGTTGAAAATTACAAAATTGGCGCTCTTGAATTCTGATTTTCGTTTTCTTGAAAACAACAAAATTGAAGACTATTTTGATTTTTTTTGTTTCAACTACGTTTGGCCTGTCCCACGAAGTCAAAACTGCAAGAGCTGACAAAACAATTCATGTGTAACAAAAGTGCAAGAAACAGTACCAACACCGATAAAGTGCGAAATGACAAATCGCTTTTTAATTTTACTAATAATGGCACAACTCCATCCGGTCGGCTTTTGAAACCACAAACAAGATGGCGGTGGTCTCAGGTCTCGTTCGGGTCAGTGTTCTTCGAGTTGTATGGCCTCAAGCGGAAATTTCACGCTAACGGTGGTGTTATTGTTACGTACAAAAGCCTGTCCATGACCGAAACGTTTTCAAAGGAATGAGCTTGATTTCTTGACCCGCGAGTATGCTTTATGGGCTTATGTGCGGTGTAAAACGGCACCAGTTACTCGCACAAGAAAATGTAGCTCTAAGTTTTGAGTCTGTAGACGAAATCCCGTGGTGTGACCATTTAAATGAAACCTCTTCAGCAGTACTTTCACGTGGTACTATTTATTTAGGTTTGTATTTCTAACTTTTGAGTCTGTGGATGAAATCCCGTGGTGTGACCATTCAAATGAAACCTCTTCAGCAGTACTTTTACATGCTACTATTCATTTAGGTTTCCAGTTCTAACTTTTGAGTCCGTGGATGAAATCCTATGGTGTGACCATTTAAATGAAACCTCTTTAGCAGTACTTTTGATTGGTACTATTCGATTTTATGGATTTTACAAAATTAAATTTAGGATTTTTTTCAAATGTTCGTTTTGGCCACTGTTAGCAGTGAAAGGGTTAGCTTGATCATGGGTTTTGTAGAAGTTGAGATGCATGCAGTGTAGACCTTTGGGCTCAACATAGCGAGATACGTTTTGCATGCATGTTTTTGTAGCAGAAGCATTGTCTTAATAGTCATTTGTTGATAGCATTTTTCATTTTTCAAGTAATATATCAAACATGAGACGCACTGTTTCATCACCAGATGAAACACCGAGAAGAGAGTTGAAAATACGACGCGTAGCGGAGTATTTTTGACGAACTTCGAGGTGTTTCATCTGGTGATGAAACACTGTGTCGAATGTTTGATATTTCTTCTCAAACAAAAGCATTTTTGAAGGAGAAATTAAGGATGCAAAACTGAGCAGTTTTTCATCCGATATCCAAACACTCATTAAACATTAATTTCCTTTCAATTTTCTTTATGAATTATTAATGAGTTTGAGAATTACATTTGTAACACGATGATGTTAACAACTTGTTGTTGTTTGTATTATGTCACCGAATAAAATTACCACATTTATCCGATATTTTGTTGTGTATTGTGCGACAAGGATTTTTAATCAGGTGCATGCACCAAGAGTTTTTGAATTTGTCTCTTGCTATATATAAAATACGATACCTTTACACTCGAGGGTGGGGGGTGACTTCTATATGAAAAAGACAACGATGCTCGTCGAAAATTTTGAAATTGACCCCTAAAGGAGACCAATCTGAGTTAAAAATAGAATTTAATTTGGCTAAATTTGTTCCCTAAAACCCTAAACGAGACTTTGAAGGCTAAAAGTATTCTTGGTTTTCACGTGACGTCAGAAAAAACTAAAATAAAAAAAAATTGAGTTTTTACATTCGTCAGCTAAAAGACATTTTTAAACATATATATGCTGGCCTGTGGTCAGCTTGGTAACCTGCTTTGTTTTGAAAATAGAGCAGTTTGAATTTCAGATGTTTTCACAACACGTAACATCTACATTGTTTCTGAGTAACATCACAGGTAGCCCAAGCTCTATATATGAATACTGCAGAATTCAGTATATTGACTTAGTATATTGTTACGTAATTTGAGTAATTTGCATATTTATAAAGTTTTTTATGAAGAAAAACAAGAAGGCTGAAAATTACGAAAAATTGCCCGGACCGGCGTATAAAGACTGGGAAAAAGAAGCGGCGAGATAAAAACCTTTGCTAGCAGGGTATCCTTTTTACGCCCGTGATCCATTAAAATAGTTACCGCGTACAGCGTACATGACCTTTTGATGGTAGATATTGATTGCTGGACGGTTTCTTAGAGTCTCCCCACCTACCCCGACCCTAACTCAACAGGAATGCTAACTCATCACTTGCGGTAAACTCATCAGCTGGTTAGGGAAGGGGTATGTGAAAAGTTCATTTCCCAGAATCACACAGTGATCCATTCTAACCAACCTGTTGAACTGATGACTTGGCAGATCAATGACTTTTTCAAATGACGCTTTGAAAGAATGTGATCCCAGATCCGTCTTGTTTATTAATCTGATATATGTAATCGGCTTGGTTATCTTCTGTAAGTTATATCCAGTCTCCTTTGAAAATGCTCGTTTCCTGTCAGAAGAAATAGTCATTCATGGGTATCACATTCCTCCCCAAGTAAGTTAATAAACAGAACCACACTGTACTTGCAACGTACGCGTGGAGTTTTAATTGTCACAGCATGCAATACGCCAAGCGTGGCTGAATATTGTTGTTGTGTTAATGTTGTATCGTTTACCTTAGGAATACATGTACCTGAGTCAATTACTATTCATTTCGTATGCAACATTACGTGCAACTTTGCATGTATTTGTATAAGGTCAGGCCTAGCGTAGAAGCTTTTTGTTCTTGCCTTCGAGTAAACAGGGGCACCCAACGAGTACGTAGTTTAAAACTACTTAAACAAAGCATTGTTAAACGTATTTTAGTATTTAAACGGTAGATATAGGCAAATTTTTATCCCCTAAAAATTTTTCATCTGTTCGGATTTCCTAGCTGAAAGTCTAGTGATCCGAAAATTATAGGGATCAAAACTTACCTTTTCGAAAATTTCAGCCAGATAAAAGGCTCTCGAAAATCCTAGGAGAAGCAGGCAAGCAGTAAATTTTACAACAAATGTCCCGAAAATTCTAGATCTCAAATCGTCTTCCGAACAGATATTTTCCGAAAATTGTCGTTGGGTGCCCCTGAGTAAACCTCATGCTTCAAAATAACTGTTGCAATACGTAATATGGATAACAGTGGTCCTAACTTAAAAGTTTTACATTCCCTTGTACATCGTTGGAGCGTGAATTGTGCATGTTATTTTTCAGTTATTACTCACTTAGGTGTCTGAAAATTGTTGGTGTCGCATCACAAGCTTTCCGAAAAGTTGGTTTAGTTGTGTACTTCGTGCGACATTGTCGTTCTAGGTTACTGCCTCTGTATCCCGTGTTTAGCATTTCGTGTGTGTGCTTGAACGTGTTTTCCTTGCTTTCTTAGTTGCAAGAGTACTAGTCACTCTGCAGTCCACAATGTAGTTTTTGTTTGTTTGTTTTTTCTGCAGCCCTCCGAGTCCCGTGCTTGTCGAAAGAATAGCAGCCAATTATAATTATTTCCTTTTCACAGCTTCGAGTTGCCATACCCTTCCACCATTTGTTGTCGTTTTTATTGTTGGTGTCGGTGGGTTCAGTGAGTCCTTCCCTTCTCTGACGCTGCCCTTCGTATCGCTACAGGCAACCATGCCTGGGTTCGATTTCTTGTTACCACTTGAGGTTTAGTAATTTTAATTAAATTCTACAAATTCTTGGACAGAGAGAATTCGGTTACATTCTGGTTCCACGTTTCCTATGCACAGCTTCCCGTGACTCGCAACGCGTGCAGTTGTGTAACATTTTAGTCTGGCCATGGCTCTCTTAACTGATATAGCCTGAGGCCCGAGTGTCTCCCCCAGTCCTGGTGCCGAGATTCCAGAGGCCAAAACTACCCTGAATCACTTGGCACAAGAGTTAAGTTTGATAAAGTCGCAAAACAAGTAATAAATTAAATGCTGCTTGAGAGGTTCCCATTTACTTGTGAATTTTTTACAGAGAAGCAAATTCCCGAGGCCTGTTATTCCGTGTAATACGTGATGTGGGCTTATTAATTGAAATTGCGGCGTGAACTGCATATAAATGGATGTGTAATCCCGCTAATCGTCCATGCCAGAATTGAAATATGGAACAAAAACTAACTACTAGTCTTTTTGTTTTGGATGGAATTGTAAATAGCTAAGTACTGTATAAATAAACCTCTCTTTGTCCCAAACAAGTGGTATCATTATCTTTCTGAGAGGAACCGCTATAAACAGGGCTGTCTATGAGCAACTTTCATACATCGCAGAGTTAACATATATGCATACCGTGTTTGTTAAGCTACATGCAAACGGACGCAACAACCCCCAACAATGTTGGGAGTTGTTGGCCAACATTGTTGCGTCCGGGTGTTTGCACCAAGTTTGCACGGGGTTTGAGATATAAAGCAACCACTGACTCGTCCCCAGTCTTCTCTATTTGGATCGCACGCGTGTCCCAAGAGAGCGCGAAAGAGTGATGGGAAGGAGGAAAACAAAAGGGAGAAAGTCTCTCTTCTTTCCTCCTTCCCAGCACCCCTCGCACTCCCCTTGAGTGCGCCTCTCTCGTTAATATTAATAGCACACTGAGAGACGACTGGGGACGAGTCGGAAGCAACCACGCTCTAATGCGTGCTCCGCCAATAAGCGACCATCCCCTGGCTTGACTAGACTAGCAACGTGCGTTCCCCCTCCCGCTAATTCTTAAATTATATGGATATCTTTCTCTCTCTTTTAAACTTTCTGTTAAACTACACTTGCTTCAATGGGCCATTTCCGAGTTGTCTTAAGCCTCTGTTTCAAAGCGAGGCTAAGTGCAAAGCCGTTGAGATGAAAATCATTTTTATTCTCATGCAATTAAAACTCTTTAGATTTTGTACTTAGCCTCGTTTTGAAGTGAGAGTTGTAGGGACTCTAAACTGGCCTATTGCTGGTTTGTTTTTGACGTCATCAAATTTTAAAATAAAAATTTTTCCTTTCTTTAGAGTTATTTGTTTTATCAGACATTAGAACTACTCAAGATTATTTATCTCTTCAAAAATTTTCAGTTTCATTGTACCTTAGGAGACGATTTATACGCTGGCTCTCCTAAACTTTCGACTCGGTATGTTCTACCCATTGTTTTTCACATCAGTGAACCGGTGATACCACGATTGAGAATCAGTGAGTATTTAATAAGACAAGACTTATCTATTTACAACATATGAGCCACACTATTCCTGTCAAGAACAGATTTATGATAAAGTCAAAGCAAAATCGTTTCTTGCGGGACAAAGCGAGTCATCCCGAGCGGGCAAGATCGGGAACTATCCTGCTCACTCGGGTAGCCAATCAGAATTAAGGATTCGCCCCGTCTTGCTCGTTTGTAACCTGCGTTGCAGCTGGAGTTGTCACTCGAGAATCGATATTTTGACTGTCTGTGACTCAGACTAGCTTGTTCGCGGATAATAATAAAAACACAGTAACTTGAAATTACATAATATTAGGGCATTTTTCTGCATTTTAACCATTTATACAAAGGACTACACTACAGGGTTTCCCAGAAAATAGAAATAATTTTTTCAATTGCTTCAGGTAAGCTTGTATCGGTGAAGAGCTTCCATCCCTATCCAACCGAGCGGTAAATACCTACATCCCTTTCCTTAAATATATATGTACAGTACGAAGCATTTTTGATGGGTGTAGTGTTCACATAAACCTAGCTTTCTTGCTACATCTGCAACGTGTTCAAGTTGGTTTCAGTACGACATCTCCCGCCATGTCAGGGGACTTGGGACTTGGAGGACTTTCTTTCAGGTAAGTGACTAAATAAATCAATTAAACAGTTTGACACTAAGACAGGAAATGAATCGAAGCGAGTTCCATAATCAGTTAAAAGTTGAACACGGGGCTTCAACTTGTAATCTGTCTTCCTTCTCCATTTCTTCTTTACACTGTCAACTGGATTCACTGGTTCATACCATCAGGGGCAAGCTATAGAAATAATCGAGTAAAGAAAAGTAAGATTTCTTTATTTAATTTTTCAAATTGGTCTTTTTATGAGTTGTTAGATTACAGTGTACACCCACTGCCCGTTGCCCGGGGGATATAGCTGTGCGCATGGGTAATGTACCAGCCATTTCGCGGAGTTTGCATGGTAGTGTCTGCTTCCTTGTTGTTACGGTTTTGTACTCTTTTCGCTGACCAAAAGGATCGCGGCCTCTGGGAACGAGATGGTTCTTTTCTGGTAACATTGATTAAGTCATGTGTGCATGAGCATTTGGTTGCCAAGCAAAGAAAACTACGTAACAAGTCGCAGAAAGCAACCTCACCAGCCTGTGTAACGCAAGAAACTTTCTGCAACCGTCACAGAAACTTGAGTAAATTGAAGATTTGCGGTAGTCAAACGTTTCTCACATTCCGAATAAATTTTTTGCTGACAAACTCAGGAGAAATAACTTACCTAATACTAAGAAAAAGAGTGGACAAAACAAGCCAGAAATGAAGAAACAACCCTGCAGAATAAACAACACATATATTTAGTGAAACATATCAAAAAAGTACGTTGTCTTAAATTTTATCTGTACTGCAAATGAATTCTTTGACTTGCCTGCGCTATGGAAAACTTGCGAAAAATCAACCAGGCTCGGCATTATGAACGCCATATCTCTTGCAAAGGAGATCTCGTTTATTTGACCGAAATATGATTTTTTGGTGAATTTTTTTTTGCGCTTGGTCACCTTTTCAGAGGAATGAAACGGTTAAGCTACAATTACTCACCGGCCGCTGAATCAGGGGGGCATACAGTCTCACAATTCTGTACCACTTTATCGAGCCCCACAACAATCTGACTGTAGTTTCTCTTGACATCGTCACAGACAAAATGTTTATCTCGTAGCACAACATAGTCGCAGATTGTGGCGTTGAAGTTTGCTGCATTGCAATCTTGATCGATGCCGGTTCCTTTTATTTTGCATTGCAATGTAACAGTTACAGTGCCTCCGATCCCACTGCAGGACTGGCTGCAATCTGCGGATGCCAACGTAGTTATGGAATCTGTGCTGAGGGTAACTGTTGACGGATTAAAGTGATACATTAGGTCGCGTGTGGACTACTCAACAAAGTTTTATACGGAAAGCTTCCATTCCCGCCCCCGGGGGGGTACACCCCCTATATAAGCCATACTGGTATGTCCTGCCCCAAAGGGTAGGGTTTTTGCGCCGTTTTGGTCTGCAAATGGGTACAGACTTTGCCCATTTTGGTCTGGAATCGGATATGATTTTCAAGGGAACTACGGGAGTACACGAACGTATTTATTTTTTTCAATTCCAAATGAGCAAGAAAGAAAGAGAAATATACGAATTCGGAACGGATTTTAAGAAATCTTTTTTGTTTCTGTTTTAATCTAAGTAGTGATGACATTATTTGTTAAAGGCCAGGTCTGAGAATGGGTATGGATTTTAGAGGCCAAGTGACATTTTTTGGTCTGAAATGGGGTCAGGATTTGGAGAAATGGGCGGAAATTCTATGGTCCCTAATTACTATAACATTTATTTTTTTTACGAAAAACCAAAAACGAAACAAGCGGCACTGCGTGACATGTTACGTCATTTCGATGGTCTATTCTCCCATATACCATAGCTCTCGACCAATCAGCGGGCGAGGATTCGCTCATTTATTGTAAAAAGCATTTTGGTTATAGATAAAGCAATAGGTTATAACTGTAATACAGATTTGATCTAAAACAGCAATATCCTGAGGGCCCCTTAAAACTCAAATCGATATTTACCATTTACAATGGGCATAGCTGAGGTCTGACTGACGGAAGCTACAGCTGTTGTCGATGCATTTGTCATTGCAGTGGAAGACGCAGTCGCTTCTGAAGCTGTAAGTGAGACTACTCCCGTGGTTGATGTCGTGTTTCCCGTCATAGCTGATGCTGTTGTCGCCATCATAGGTTCTGTGGATGAATACGATGATGGCGTGGATGTGGAAAGGATTGCTGATAACGGCGTGGGCGTAGAAGACGTTGTTGACGGCGTGAACGTGGACTCGGAAAGCGTTGTTGACAGAGTGGAGGTTGAAAGAGTTGTTGGTGATGGAGAGGTTGAAGTAGAGGTTGGGGGCATTGATGTGGAGAGCCTTGTCGATGGCGTGGAAGCGGAGAGTGTTGTTGTTGATGGTGATGATGTTGATATTGAGTTTGGTGCAGCTGAAGATGGTGATGATAATGATGATGAAATTGATGACAAAGATGATGGTGATGATGATGTTGGTGATGAGGATATTGATGATGATGGAGGGAAAGATGATGCTGATGCTAAAACTGATGCCGATGTTGATTTTGATGTAGATGCTAATACTAAAACTGATGCCGATGTTGATTTTGATGTAGATGCTGATACTGATGTCGATATTGATGCTGGTGCTGATGTCGATATTGATTTTGATGTTGATGCTGATATTGATGCTGATGTTGATGCTGATATTGATGTTGATGTTGGTGTTGATGCTGATATTGACGCTGATGTTGATGCTGATGTTGATGCTGATATTGACGGTGATGTTGATGTTGATGTTGATGCTGATATTGACGCTGATGTTGATGCTGATGGTGACGTTGGTGTTGATGTTGATGTTGATGCTGATGTTGATGCTGATGGTGACGTTGATGTTGATGCTGATATTGATGGTGATGTTGATGTTGATGTTGATGTTGATGCTGATATTGACGCTGATGTTGATGCTGATGGTGACGTTGGTGTTGATGCTGATATTGATGGTGATGTTGATGTTGATGTTGATGCTGATATTGACGCTGATGTTGATGCTGATGGTGACGTTGGTGTTGATGCTGATATTGATGGTGATGTTGATGTTGATGTTAATGCTGATATTGACGCTGATGTTGATGATGATGGTGATGTTGACGCTGTTGCAGATGTTGATGCTGATGAGGACAACGATTGCGACAATGACACTGACGCTGAAGCAGGAGCAGAAGATGTGGATGCAGAAGCTGATAACGATGTCGAAGATAAGGATGGTAAAGAAGAACCTTGGTGGATCCAATGAATTAACAGAACTGGAAGACATAGCACTCGATAAGCTGCCATCATCTTTTCTTAGTAGAAAGATAATACAAAACAGAGTTAACACTTAGAGTAATCTCATATTCTATAATAAACAACATGTTTTTCGAGTTGTAAAGGGTTTAAAAACAAGTCGGCAGACACAATAGCGCTGCGCGTGGCTGCTATTCATAGACCCGAAACTCAGACAAACAACATGAAATTTACATTTTTAGGAATTTATTTTTTATGAATTTATTTTTAATCAGAGTTAGTTTAGTTAGGTATAATAGATCTTAGATTTTTTGTACATGCTGAAGGAATTCTAACCGTGTTTAAATAAAGTTATCTATCTATCTATCTATCTATCTATCTATCTAAACAACATGTTTTTCGAGTAGTAAAGGGTTTAAAAACAAGTCGGCAGACACAATAGCGCTGCGCGTGGTTGCTATTCATAGACCCGAAACTCAGACAAACAACATGAAATTTACATTAGCGAATTTCTCACTTTTGTCTGACTTTTGTCGTTAAAATGTCATGTTTGTCTATCTTTTGTCATTAAAATGAAAAAAATGACAAAACTCAGACAAAAATTGCAAATCAGTCACCTTGACGTCATTCGCGCCCTACGCTATTTCAACAAGACGCCTAAAGTCGTTTCCGTGGGATGCGTTGGTCCATGGAAGCATAATGGCGTTCTATCTGAATTTGGAAAAATTAGGGAAACCGGAAAGATGTGTCATGTTATGAGCATCGATGAGTAGGTTACCTGTATGGGTTGGTTTAATGTGCTTATGACTGAATTTATAGTAGCCTTCGTGACAGGCTACTATTTCTCCCCAATCCACATCCCCTTTTTGCTTCCTCCCTATCCCCTACCCCTTTCGACACCTGCTACGCAAGCTAAATTTCTAGTTGTCACTGGTCGCGAGGATGGAGTTGATCTTATTTTGATCTATCGCTATGTAGTTATTTTCATAGCACGATTTGGATAAGAAAAAGAAGTTATTTTGCATCAAAACAAGGTTTTGCCGTGTAACTTAAAGTGGAATGTTAACGGAAACAAGTAATGGAGAACATGCGCATAACGCTCTCATTAACCTGAAGAGGAACTATATGTATAAAGATACGTCATATCTTGGCAGTAAGTAGCCACAGGTAACTTTTTCAAAGAGAAATGAACATTGTAGTTTTAGGTTAATGGAACAAAACAAAACAAAACATCCGCTTGCTTTATCCAGGGTCGAACCCAGGGTTACAAAGTTCGAAAAAGTTCCAATGTTTTAATCCAAGATGAAAGTGTAATATTCCAAGATGCTCTTGATACGGTTAAAAATTAATTGCAATGTGTTTCCAAGGTCTTAAAGTTAACATAGTTTCAATGATTTTCCCTGATTCCAAGGTATAATAAGTTTACTAAGGTCCTGATCCGTGTCCCATCCAGAAGTCCATTCCATGCCGAAAGCAAGTCATCGATCGACGAGGACAATATTTTCGCGATTTCACCGCCAATTGTCAAGGGTACGAGTTGAAATTTACCCGATTTAACCTGCCATCGTCAAGGTGTTTTCGATGAGGAAAGAAAATAACTGAACTCTAGCTGTGCTCGGCAAAAACTGGCGAACTCCGAATAGAAAAATCTATCGGAAATCACAGCCCGCAACCAGACGCTACTAAAACCTTATGAAAAAGCTAGACCTAAACAAAAAAGAATCATGAAGGAAAGAAATAATTTGGCTTAGGTCACCTGTCGTAACCACGAGTGGGAAAACTCAAGCGCAACAAATTTGGCAAGCGTGACGTTCTGATTTCAACGTTCTTCAGAGGAAGCAAATCGATTAAAAATCGATACAGAGTTTGTACAATCTGATTGGTCGGCTTAGAAGAAGAGATAATCGATAAAGATTTTACGCAATCCTATTGGCTGGCTTTGCAATTTTGGGTACAACCGAACCGGATTTTTACCGTGGGAGTGCCACAGGCATCCCACGGAATTAGTTGCAGAAAGAAGAGTAAAAAAGAAACAAATTTCATTTGACAAAAAGAACAGAATAGCAAGGTTTTTAAAGAGGTTATTTAGGAAAATTCTCAGTCAAGGGTGCAAAAAATATCATGGCTGATTCCTTCAAAATTCCGGCACTGCGCACTGATCACTATGGTGTGTAATTTTACGTTCTTAGCGGCGCTATAAAATTTGTGTCTGTTCGGTCATCCTAGGGGAACGTGAGTCTTTCCGAAATAACCAGGGCTTCAGTATCATTTCCCCCGAAAATTTTGGATGCAATTTAACGTATTACAAAGGACAAAGGAAAGATTCCTCTTTCTGATTCCTCTTTCCATCTCATTTTTCAATCCGAAAATTTTAAGTTTTTCTTTATTCCTTGAAAAATAACCTATAACATGAGGAGTAAAATGTGAAAAATTAAATTTCAGAAAATCGTAGGGAATTTATTAGATGAGCTTCGAAAATTTTACATAAATGGAACGGTCGTGTATCTAGAATCTTTTTAGCCGTCCTCAAGCAAAAGAAAATTCTAGGCAATATTTGCGTATCCGAACAGATATTTTACAGAACCCAGTCGATGCGTGCCCCTAATTTGAATGGTCACACCATAGTATCTCATCCACAGATTCAAAAGTTAGAACCACCTTGTACAGCATAATAAACAGTACCACAGGGAAGTACTGCTCAGTAGCTTTCATTTGAATGGTCACACCACAGGATTTCATCCACAGATTCAAAAGTTAGAACCACCTTGTACAGTATAATAAACAGAACCACAGGAAAGTACTGCTCAGTAGCTTTCATTTGAATGGTCACACAATAGGATTTCATACAAAGACTCATAAGTTAGAACCACCTTGTGCAGACTAATAAACAGTACCACAGGAAAGTACTGCTTAGCAACTTTCATTTGAACAGAGAAATACATCTTCGAAAAAACGAACCACCTTGTAAATTGTTAGAACTGAACCTAAATTGCTTGATTGGTGTACAGTCTGTGCGTCCATTTAAAACTTTGACAGCAAGTGCGTATTATATTTCAGTCTTTTCAATAGAATTTAAGAAAATAGGAGTAGAGGACGTAACCTTATCTTTGAAGACAGATGGTTCTATATTTTTCAAGTATTACTACGCTAGTTTCTGTGAATGTCTGAAAAACGTGATGTAAAAGATAAAGTTGTCGATTAGACAGGAAACTCAATCAAGGCAACAAAATACAGAAAAAAGTACAGATTTCCACTAAAAACAGGCTAGAAATGAAGGCCGACGGATTACTACAGTCACAGCTGGCATATAAGCAGCGAGAACTAATACTTGAAACTGTCGAGAAATGCTAAATTTCCTGTTTTATGTTAGGCCGTACCTGGTATTTGTAGTTCTTAAACGTTTGAAGAGGTAAACTAGTCTATTCTGTATGTACCCTGGGTGCCAGAGGGTTTGTTTTCCTGTTGTTTGGGGTGAATTTTTTTCTCGCTCGTAACGATCGTGGCTTCGCCGCTCAATTTTCGCAGCAAACAACAGGAAAAAAAAACCCTCTGGCACCCAGGGTATTCTGTATGCCATGTTATGACTATAAGTAGGCATGTTTTGCTCCCAGTTTCTTTCCATGGTTACACACCTCAATTCAGCAAAGACATGATCTTTGCGACAAACGCGTGGCGGAAAACTTGTCTCTCACTTTTGTAAGTTCAGTGAATCATGTTTCAGATGACTAGTTTTAAATCCGTTCTATTGACATTCAAGAGAGTTAAATGTTCCTTTTGGGCTAAAAATTAAGGTGTTAAAATAATTCATACGATCACAGTTTTGCATAACGTAGTATTCTCAAATACACCTGTTCCGCTATTTAGTTTTAGTTTGAAGGGCCCGTTCCTATTTATGTGCGTGTTGGTTATGTTTTTGATTCGAGTTTTTCAGAATGAAAGATTCAACCATTTCTACGACTTTTTGCATCCTTAATAAATAATGATGGAACTTTAAGAAAATGTTATTTATTTTCTTATAGGTATAAAAACTTTTGAGATATCAGCATATATTTAAAACCTCATTTTTACGAAAAATGAAAATAACTTCGAAATCCCACGATAGATTTTTCCCTAACTTCAGCATATAAGCCTCAGTGCTCTCTGGTTTTATGTCTGCAAGTTTGAAGGCAATCGTGACCGTAGAAATCGCTCCACAAAATATTATAAATATATAATATAAATATATAAATGTATAATATAAATGTCGCGATTGAGAGGACAAACATACATGTCATCAGCATACTAAGGGCGCCGATGGCAGCCGCTATCAGTCCATTTATGAGCCCACTGAACCCTCCCAACCCATGATGAGTGATGATGTAAGTGATGAAGATAGACCACAACACCGGGAACTACGTCCCCTACTCTTTTCGAATAGTGTGTGGGTTCTTTAACGTCCCACAGAGTTATATGTGAACAAGGTTTGTGAGACGAGACCTCCGGTTTATCGTCCTTATCCGAGAAGACGTGAAAGTCTAATCATTTGCAGATGTCATTACAAAGACAGGACTTTCTCCTCAGTTATTTTTAAGACCCTGAGTGTTGGTCCGGCCAGGATTCGAACTCGCGACCTCCCGCTCAGCAGACCGGCGCTCTCCCAACTGAGCTAACCGGGCGGCGGTTAAATATTGGTCAAAATCAGATGCTATCACATGCTCACGAGCAGTATGCCACTTGGGAATAATAGTTATCATTTACATATGGAAATCTATTTCCTATAAATTGGTAATTTATGGCGATTTCACCTTTGCACAATATGCGTTTAAAGATGGTAAACGTTGCAGTGCACTGTTAGACTCTTTTGAGAGAAGGACATGAATGGGGAAAAGTTAAGTGAACCAGGGCAAAAGGAAGGTAAACCTGATGAAAGCAGTTTGAACAATTTAATAAATTCAAATTTTACCAGCCCGAATGATAGCAGAGAGCAAGGTAAGTGGTCGGTTTCAGCCAAGTTTTGAGCTGTCAATGCTTAGTTTTTTTCCTGCTCAAACTGCCTTATGGGCTATATTTTTGATTGGCTCTTTTTCATTCTGAAACTAATTACAGACGAAGGAAAGGCTCCAGTAAGAAAATCATTTGGGGAGTGTATGAAAATATTGAAAGGTAAGCGAAGAGAAAAAGAATAAGCGTCATCCACCGATAAAAAGGAAAGTACCAGTTGAGTGCCCTTGCCCGTCTTTTTCTCCTTCAACAACAAGAAGCCAAAGCGCAAGCCACGCATCAGAATCGGCTAATACACGGTACCGTATAGTTAACTGGGGATGTTTATCAGAACAACTGGATAAATGTGCAAAATGTGGTGTGGTTCCCCTGAACTTGTTGAAAAACACGACGAACGAGAGGCAAGCTGGCTTGGGGTACTTGACCAGGATAGGATGTGATTACTGTCAGAAAACAAATGTCGTTCGGACCGATGAAGTTCATAGTGAGATGAACCAAAGAGGGCAAAAACGCTTCAAACTGAACGAGCGCTGTGTTCTTGGTACCCTTCATTCTGGGAATGGAATCAGACGCAGCTGGAACATCTTCTTTCACCATTGTAGTGTTAAAATATATGCATACTGTGTTTGTTAAGCTACATGCAAACGGACGCAACAACCCCCAACAATGTTGCGTCCGGGTGTTTGCACGGAGCTTTAGATTAAAGGAACCACTGACTCGTCCCCAGTCTTCTCTATTTGGTTCGCACGCGCGACCGAAGGAGGAAAACAAAAGGGAGAAAGTCTCTCTTCTTTCCTCCTTCCCAGCACCCCTCGCACTCCCCTTGAGTGCGCCTCTCTCGTTAATATTACTAGCAGGCTGAGAGACGACTGGGGACGAGTCAGAAGCAACCACGCTCTAAAGCGTGCTCCGTCAATAAGCTAACACCCCCTGGCTTGGCTAGACTGGCAATGTGCGTTCCCCCTCCCGCTAATTCTTAAATTATATGGATATCTTTCTCTCTCTTTTAAACTTTCTCTTAAACTACACTTGCTTCAATGGGCCATTTCCGAGTAGCCTTGAGCCTCTGTTTCAAAGCGAGGCTAAGTGCAAAGCCGTTGAGATGAAAATCATTTTTATTCTCATGCACATAAAACTCTTTAGATTTTGCACATAGCCTTGTTTTGAAGTGAGAGTTGTAGAGACTCTAAAATGGTCTACTGCTGGCTTGTTTTTGACGTCATCGAATTTTAAAATAAAAATTTTCCGTTTCTTTAGAGTTATTTGTTTTATCAGACATAAGAACTACTCAAGATTATTTATCTCTTCAAAAAATTTCAGTTTCATTATTTTGCAAACCTTGTACTTTAGGAGACGATTTATACGCTGGCTCTCCTAAACTTTCGACTGGATTATTGTTATTCACACAGTGAACCGGTGATACCACGATTGAGAATCAGTGAGTATTTAATAAGACAAGACTTATCTATTTACAACATATGAGCCACACTATTCCTGTCAAGAACAGATTTATGATAAAGTCAAAACAAAATCGTTTCTTGCGCGACAAAGCGAGTCATCCCGAGCGGGCGAGATCGGGAATTATCTTGCTCGCTCGGGTAGCCAATCAGAATTAAGGATTCGCCTCGTCTTGCTCGTTTGTAACCTGAGTTGCTGCCGGACTTGTCACTCGAGACTCGATATTTTGACTGTTTGCGACTGAGACTAGCTTGTTTGCAGATTATAATAAATACACAGTAACTTGAAATTACAAAATGTTAGGGCATTTTTCTGCATTAAGCATTTATACAAAGGGCTACACTACAGGGCTTCCCAGAAAATAGAAATCATTTTTTCAATCGCTTCAGGTAAGCTTGTATCGGTGAAGAGCTTTCATCCCTATCCAAGCCAGCGGTAAATACCTACATCCCTTTCGTTAAATATATAATGTACAGTACGAAGCATTTTTAATGGGTGTAGTGTTCTTGTAAACCTAGTTTTCTAGCTACATCTGCAACGTGTTCAAGTTGGTTTCAGAACGACATCTCCCGCCTTGTCAGGGGACTTGGGACTTGGAGGACTTTCTTTCAGGTAAGTCGCTAAATAAATCAATTAAACAGTTTGACACTAAGACAGAAAATGAATTGAAGCGAGTTCCATAATCAGTTAAAAGTTGAACACGGAGCTTCAACTTGTAATCTGTCTTCCTTCTCCATTTCTTCTTTACACTGTCAACTGGATTCACTGGTTCATACCATCAGGGGCAAGCTATAGAAATAATCGAGTAAAGAAAATTAAGATTTGCTTATTTAATTTTTTAAACTGGTCTTTTTATGAGTTGTTAGATTACAGTGTACACCCACTGCCCGTTACCCGGGTGATATAACTGTGCGCATGCGTAATGTGCCGGCCATTTCGCGGAATTTGCATGGTAGTGTCTGCTTTCTTGTTGTTACAATTTTGTACTCTTTTCGCTGACCAAAAGGATCGCGGCCTCTGGGAACGAGATGGTTCTTTTCTGGTAACATTGATTAAGTCATGTGCGCATGAGCATTTGGTTGCCAAGCAAAGAAAACTACGTAACAAGTAGCAGAAAGCAGCCTCACCAGCTCATGTAACGCAAGAAACTTTCTGCAACCGTCACGAAACTTGAGTAAACTGAAGATTTGCGGTAGTCAAACGTTTCTCACATTCCGAATAAATTTTTTGCTGACAAATTCAGGAGAAATAACTTACCTAATACTAAGAAAAAGAGTCGACAAAACAAGCCAGAAATGACGAAACAATCCTGCAGAATAAACAACTCATATATTAGTGAGCTATATAAAAAAAGTGCGTTTTCTTAAATTTTATCTGTAGTGCAAATGAATTCTGTGACATCGCTATGGAAAATTTGCGAAAAATCATCCAGGCTCACCATTATGAACCCCCTTTTTGTTGCAAAGGAGATCTTGTTTATTTAACCGACATATGATTTTTTGGTGAATATTATTTCGTTTGGCCACCTTTTAGAGGAATGAAACGGTTAAGCTACAATTACTCACCGGCCGCTGAATCAGGGGGGCATACAGTCTCACAATTCTGTACCACTTTATCGAACCCCCCGACAATCTGACTGTAGTTTCTCTTGACATCGTCACAGACAAAATGTTTATCCCGTAGCACCACATAGTCGCATTTTGTGGCGTTGAAGTTTGCTGCATTGCAATCTTTATCGATGCCGGTTCCTTTTATTTTGCATTGCAATGTAACAGTTACAGTGCCACCGATCCCACTGCAGGACTGGCTGCAATCTGCGGATGCCAACGTAGTTATGGAATCTGTGCTGAGGGTAACTGTTGACGGATTAAAATGATACATTAGGTCGTGTGAGGACTACTGAACAAAGTTTTGTACGGAAAACTTCCACTCCCGCCCCCCCGGGGGGGGGGTATACCCGCTATATAAGCCATACAGGTATGTCCTGCCCCAAAGAGTAGGGTTTTTGCGCCGTTTTGGTCTGAAAATGGGTACAGACTTGGCTCATTTGGTCTGGAATCGGATATGATTTTCAAGGGAACTACGGGAGTACACGAACGTATTTATTTTTTTAACTCCAAATGAGTAAGAAAGAAAGAGAAATATGCGAATTCGAAATGGATTTTAAGAAATCTTTTTTGTTCCTGTTTTAATCTAAGTAGTGATGACATAATTTCTTGGCCAGGTCTAAGAATAGACCTATTCGGCTAACTCAATGTTGTACCCAATTCAAATCTCCCAGGGTTAAGATTCTTTGCGTATTGTATTTACATTACAAGGTGGCATTCACATTTAAATGATATGGAAATTCCTGAAACAAAACGTTTTATTCCCAAAGGGTTGAATTGGGTACAACATTGAGTTAGCCGAATAGGTCTATGGGTATGGATTTTAGAGGCCAGGCCTGAAAACGGGTCTGAAAAATGACATTTTTTGGTCTGAAAAAGGGTCAGGATTTGGAGAATTGGGCGGAAATTCTACGGTCCATAATTACTATAACATTTTTTTTTTACGAAAAACCACAAACGAAACAACCGGCACTGCGTGACTGCGTGACATGTTACATCATTTCCATGGTCTATACTCTCACAGACCGTAGCTCTCGACCAATCAGCGGGCGAGGATTCGCTCAGTTATTGTAAAAAGCATTTTGGTTATAGATAAAGCACCAAGTTGTGACTATAACACAGATTTGACCTAAAACAGCAATATCCTGAGGGCCCCTTAAAACTCAGATCGATATTTACCATTTACAATGGGCATAGCTGATGTATGATTGATGGAAGGTACAGCTGTTATCGATGAATTTGTCATTGCAGTGGAAGACGCAGTCAGTTCCGTTGGTGATACTGAAGTTGTAAGTGAGACTACTCCCGAGGTTGATGTCGTGTCTCCCGTCATAGCTGATGCTGTTGTCGCCATCATAGGTTCTGTGGATGAATGCGATGATGACGTGGATGTCGAAAGCATTGCTGATAACGGCGTGGACGTAGAAGACGTTGTAGACGGCGTGATCGTGGACGCGGAAAGCGTTGTTGACAGAGTGGAGGTTGAAAGAGTCGTTGGTGATGGAGAGGTTGAAGTAGAGGTTGGGGTCGTTGATGTGGAGAGCGTTGTCGATGGCGTGGAAGCGGAGAGTGTTGTTGTTGATGGTGATGATGTTGATATTGAGTTTGGTGCAGCTGAAGATGGTAATGATGATGATGATGATAAAACTGATGACGATGATGGAGAGGAGGATGGTGATGCTGATGCTGAAACTGATGCCGATGTTGATGTAGATGCTGCTGATGTCGATATTGATGCTGGTGCTGATGTCGATATTGATGCTAATGTTGATGCTGATATTACCGCTGACGTTGATGTTGATGCTGATATTGACGCTGATGTTGATGTTGATGCTGATATTGACGCTGATGTTGATGTTGATGCTGATATTGACGCTGATGTTGATGTTGATGCTGATGACGACAACGATGGAGACAATGACACTGACGACGAAGCAGAAGCAGACAGAGATGATGACGAAGATGTAGATGCAGAAGCTGATGACGATGTCGAAAAAGATGAAGACGAGGGTGATGAAGAAGATCCTTGGTAGATCCAATGAATTAACAGAAGAAGACATACCACTCGATAAGCTGCCATCATCTTTTCATAGTAGAAAGATAATACAAAACAGAGTTAATACCTGGAGTAATCTCATATTCTATAATAAACAACATATTTTTCGAGTTTTGAGGGATTTCAAAATACGTCGGCAGATACAATTTCAATTAGTTGCAGAAAGAAGAGTAAAAAGAAACAAATTTCATTTGACAAAAAGAACAGAATAGTATGGTGTAACCACAGGAAAGTACTGTTCAGTAGCTTTCATTTGAATGGTCACACCATAGGATTTCACCCACAGACTCAAAAGTTAGAACCACCTTGTACAGCATAATAAACAGTACCACAGGAAAGTACTGTTCAGAGGTTTTCATTTTAATGGTCACACCACAGGATTTCATCCACGGACTTCAAAAGTTAGAACCACCTTGTGCAGCATAAAAAAGGTACCTAAGGAAAGTACTGCTTAGCAGCTTTCATTTGAACAGAGAAATGCATCTTCGAAAAATCGAACCACCTTGTAAATTGTTAGAACTGGACCTAAATTGCTTGATTTGTGTACAGTCTGTGCCTCCAATTAAAGCTTTGACAGCGAGTGCGTATTTCAGTCTTTTCAATAGACTTGAAGAAAATAGGAGTGGAGGACGTAACTTTATCTTCGAAGACAGGTGGTTCTTTAATATATTTTTTAAGTATTACCACGCTAGTTACTGTGAATGTCTGAAAAAGGCGATTTAAAGGATAAAGTTGTCGATTAGACAACAAACTCAATCAAGGCAACAAAATACAGAAGAAAGTACAGGTTTCCACTAAAAACAGGCTAGGAATGAAGGCTAACGAATTAATGCAGTCACAGCTGGCATATAACCAACGAGAACTAGAACTTGAAAGTGTCAAGAAATGCTATATTTCCTTTTTTATGTTAAGCCGTACGTAGCATTTGTAGTTCTTAAGGTTTATTCTATCTTTTGAAGAGGTAAACTGGTTTCTTCTTTATGTGTTATGTCTATACGTATGCTTAATACGTATGCATGTTTGCTCCGAAGTTTGTTTCCATGGTTACAAACCTCAATTCAGCAAAGACATGATCGTTGCGACAGTCTCGTGGCGGAACACTTGTCACTCATTTTTGTAAGTTCACTGAATCATGTTTCAGGGAACTAGTTTTAAATCCATTCTATTGACATTCAAGAGAGTTAAATGTTCCTTTAGGGCCAAAAATTAAGGTGTTTAAATGATTCATACGATCACAGTTTTGCATAACGTAGTATTCTCAAATACACCTGTTCCGCTACTTAGTTTTAGTTTAAACGGAAGAAAGTAGGACGGCTTTGAAATCCAAAAAACATGCTGTGCTTCTTGTGTTTATACCTTAAAAAAGACGTTAATATATTGGACATACATATTAGAAAAGAACAGAAAACTGAAATAAAGAGCTTCTATGTGCTGCGTCCACCAAATGCAATTTTTATTTCACAACATGACGTTATTTAAAATTCGTGCCCTAGACGAGCAGAATATAAGCTTACCACAAAGCCTCAGATCTTTTTTAATGGCGGTCTTTGCCAAATTGCAAAGGGCCTTCTAAAAAAAATCATGCACACTTTAATTTTAGAAACGCGAATATTCTAGGCAGTTTTCTCAGCCTTACTACACACTTTCAGATTTTATTCACGGAAGGCCGTCATTGAAAGCAATCAAATATTTAATAAATTCATTTGGAGATTCTCTTAAAACTTTGCGTCGTTAACGTTAAAAGAGTCGCGCGGGAGAATTTCGTTTGCACATCTAGTTTAATTTCATATTGGCAAACAAGGAAGTTTATCTAACGCAATTTGTATTGATTTAAGTTAAATTTTAGTCCGCGTATGCCATTCCCGTGGCCTGTATTTATATTGAATTTTTTTATTTTAGAATAATGTTTTACAAGCAATTAAATATCTCGGTACATAAAAAGGTCAACTCAGTTCATCTAGGTGGCAATTTAATTGTTGGTAAAATATTTGATGTAGAGAAGTACCAAAAAGACCGAAAAGTTCACTTGTGACGAACATGAGACTGTCATCTTTGACGGAAAACTGGAAATAGTTCACGAACCGCAATTTGAATCAAATTATGAAAGGAAATCTTAGTCTATGACGACCACAAAACCACATTTTCTAGCCTCGATTAGGATTCTGTGATTCTCTTTCAAAACCTTTCTGGAAGTGTAAAACGTAACATCAAATAGTCTGGTTCTCTTACCTTGATCTGGCTTGGCTTTTAAGATCGAAAATGGAAGGAAAAGGCCTCTTTGACCACACAAATCTAGTTCGTGTTAATTATGTGTGAATCAGTAATTTCTGAGACAATATATTTGAAGGTGGACATTACAAATGTCGCTCTCATTGGCGTATCCATGGCAACCGAGGCTAAAACATGACACTTAGTGTTTTTTTTGGCAGTATTTGTCGGTTACCGTAACAAAACCCCTGATAACATTGTTATTCTTAAGTGCGCGGTACAAGTTATTGACGCATAGATAACTTGGGTGTTTCAATCATCGCCATGGAGACCGCATACAATTGAGGATTCACACAGAGCGCGCTAGGATCTGAAACATTATGAAAAATTATTACCAGTTTTATTCAACCCCTGTAAATTTGAATGGTACAGCATTACGTTTTATTTTTTGCAATGTTTTTATCGCCTCTACGAAACTTCGAAGGCCCGTCGTCGGCAAGTTTTTATTTAAATGGTCTCATGGTTTTACTGACGCTATTGAAGACCCGAAGTACACAAAAGAAGAGGCGATGATATTATAACGACAAAACAATGATACGGTCACCTGCAGTTTTGATCAGCGTCCAGCGAAAGATTTTTGGAATGTTTTTTTCGTCCTGTCTTACACGGTGGATGTAATGTACCCGGAAGTTGTAGTTTGTAATATAGCAGGAAATTGTATAACGAACGCTGAGAACTCAACAATATTTTACTTCAAGTCTGTAAGCACATGGCAAGAAGAAGCTACTGCGCATGTACGAAGCGCATAAGGATTCATGGGATATGACAGTGGATAAGCATGTGAACGACTTAACATGCAGTTTTCTTCTTTCAGTTACACTTCGGCATTGATTATTCATGGCAAATTACGGTCTATTTCCCGGGATAAGGCTGTGGGGAAGGAGGGGAGGGGGAGGGGAGATTCTCTTACTTTGCCTAAGAGGAGAAGTGCCGCTGAACAAGGTATGGTTTCTGGGTCTTTTGTATACAATTTCAGGTCGCTATCATGCATTTTTATCAACCGGCATGTCCTCTGAAAGCTTTACCCAAATTCAGGGCAAACTATTCAGGAACCTCTTATTTTTCAGGTAGGTCCTATTTTAAACCAGTCCCACGATGCACTTACACCCTTATAAACGATCCAATCTACCCACAAACTCTTTGGCTTTCGGCTTTGGAAGGGTACTCTATTATGGCCTATACGCGGAGTTTCCGCCAAAGGGGTGCCTTTTTCAGGCTTAACGTATATAAACGGTAGGGGTTTCACCAATTGCAGTACACGAAAGCCCGAAGGAGGGAGCGGGGTACTCCCTTACAAGAGGCTAATAGGAATGTGCCGCTGGATGCCGGGTCGCATTTTCATGACTGGATTCGCTATAATGGGGTCGCATTTTCAATAGATTTACTAGAATGGGGTCGCAAATTTTTCGGGTTTTTGGGATAAGTAGGCCGATTCAAAATGGGAAGATTCTCGGTTAAAAAATCAGAAAGTTGTTGTTTATTAAATTACTTTCCGTCGCTTGAAACCACATTAGTAAGGTAGATGCATAAATAGGAAGTGACTAAGTTGGGATTGCGAAAATTACATTTTCCAAAAAGTGACTAAGATGGAGTCTTTATTTGGCCACAAAATAGGCTATAATGGGGTAGGGGCTCTGAGAGGCCAGCGGCACATACCCAGCAAACATTAACCCAAGTACCCCCGGGCACGAAAGGGGGGGGGAATTTGTCATTGTGGTCTGGGAAAGGATCTGAAAGGGCTTATAGGCGCATTTATGGCTGTGAAAAGGACGCGAAAACTTTTTGGTTTAGTGATTTAATCATATTTAAAGACGGAAAAATTTACAACAGCTAAAAGAGATACAGTGATTTAAACTAGAATGTGAAAAGGGCTGAGCCGTAAAAGGGGTACCTTTTCTGTTAAAAATGGTCAGTATAAAAAGGTAACAGGTTGGACCTCGGAGCGGAGCCTCTCCGGCTCCGTACAAAACTTTTATGGAGTGCCCCCACCCACCTCCCTTAGGTTTTGTACTACTTTTTACTTGTATAGTTGAGATGAATCTCAGGTAAAAAGTGGCGTCTTCGTGATTTTTATTGCGGCGTTCTCCTCTATATAATATTGTGATTCCTTCCACAAATTCAGTAACATTTGTAAACTTGAAAAAGGCTGGTGTGGCTAGCCGAAATATTATCATGAAAAAACAATACACGTTGTTCTGATCAGCTTTGCAGTAGTCTTTGGACTTCTCGTTTTTGCGTCCTCGTGTTCTAGACCCCCGGTCTAGACCTCGGCCAACCCGAACTCTATTCAGACCACCACAGGTAGCCCAAGCTCGAAATATGAGCATCAGCGTAGCCTCTCCGCAGACGTCCGTTGGGTTTCGTTTGGGGGAGAAATGAATGCGTTACAAACGAACCCCAACGGACGTCTGCGGGGAGGCTAGCATCAGCGAACATAGAGAGAAAACCGTTTACATAAAAACCCATAAAACGGCCATAAATCGGCCCGTGGACCACACAGGAGAGACGTAACACACATTTTAAGTAAGGTAAGCTGTTTTTTTATTGAAATCCTTTCATTTTCGTAGGTTACAGAAACGATAGGTTTTTTATTTTTTTCCCATACAAATCCTTATATTTTGAATGTTACGCTACCGTGCCGATGCTTGCTGATGCTCATATTTCGAGCTTCGGCTACCTGTGGTGAGGCCACCAGAGTTAAAATCTGATCGCAATATTCGGCTGCTTGAGCTAAAATACAAATCTTTTGGCGCCCTCAGCTCGTAGACATTTTCGGAGACAAAAATGTAGACATAAAAAACCAAAGAGAAAAGCGACGACTTGAGGTTTCCCCATTTCTGACAGACGAGCCGTCCTTCTTCAGGGGATTTAATGAACTGGAAAGTCGTTACATTTCAAAAACTATTTTGCTTTTGATTAACAACTACTTCTTTTATCTTAAAGGAATACAAAATGTTAGAAAAGATTTCTGATGTGTGCTTAATTAATGCAGTGGTCAAGCATTCCTCACCCTACCCCACAAGGGTATTCCCTCACTTCCCAGCGTGCCATATGGTCGCATGTTGCACACGCTTCTTTCTCTTTCCCGGCGGATTATTTCAACATGCCTCATTCAAACGTTTGGTTTTCACACCCAAGAACGTACGGACCAGGTTCAAGATCCTGGTAAGATTGTCTTCATAGCCCACTTAATTCGTTTCTCGTTATTTTCTGCCAAATTAGTCAGGATTTACTTTTGATAAACGTTTATTTGGCGAGCAAAGAACTCGGCGCTCAGCACGGCGACAATTCAAGATGGCGGACACGTGGTTTTGGAATGGATAGTTTAAAACTGTCGGCTTACAGTTTACTTTCCTGGCGGTTAGGACGGTTTTAATATAGGTGTTGGTCAGTAACTTTAAATGGAAAATATGGGAAGCCTTGTTAACGCCATAAATTTATTTCAACTAATAAATTTGACCTTTGCAATACTCTCAATACTTTATTAAAAAATTTAGCTTTGTCAAACTATCAGTAGACCTCTGCCTGGCTTCCTTCATTCATATTGAAGAAATCTTGGTAATACAGCTACATCTATCTTGTTTCAGCTAATAAATTGTAAGGATTTTTTCATGTCAACATTTTATTTCTTGCAATTACATGTACTGTCAACATGGTTTCTGATGTCTAGTCCTTACTTTTTCATAGCCGTGTATGTTTCAATCACCATGGAATTATCAGAAAATATGGTTTAAACATTTGTCGAAGATGCTTCAGACAGTATGCCAAAGATATTGGCTTCCAAAAGGTTAGTAAATATACCTTACTTTTTGTGCAGTCTACCAAGAAAGACAAAAATGCCCTTAAAAAAGCGTCAGGCCAAGCTTGTTGCTTGGAGATTAGATAAGAAATTAGAGGGCAATTAATTCTACACAAAACAGGATTTCCGCACTAAAAGTTTCTCACATTTTAATTTATCAACGGTTGAGTATTCTTTAGGATATTTACTTTTTATATCGTATTCGATGATTTGTTTCTGAGTTGATTGAGTGTGCATGATTAAATACACAAAAATCAAGGGCCTTTATTCGAGAGAAATTAGCCTCAAGTTTTGCTGAACTTCTGCTCTTAGAGATTCTTTTTGGTTTTTGACCACTGAAGTATTCACTTGTTCCAAAGTAAACAGTGCTTTCAAGCAATAGAATTTGTGGACTGTCCTGTTCCAGAAAAGCTCAACATCTTTTAAATATGTTGTAGGACATGTTGCAATATGTATCCCCAGTTTCCATGGTCTCCCCTAGGCCCCCTTTTGGCATACACACATGAAAAAAAAGAAATGTTTGCATTTTGACAGTCTTGCTGCTAAAGCAAGCTTGACTAAAAAATGGAAAAAAGTGTTAAAGAGTTGAGCCAAAAGCTTGTTCATAATATATACCTGTGTAAATCATAGCTACATATCATTTACAGATTTGTTCCTTCATTACAAAGAAATTTTTTGCTATCAGGGAGACAGGCAGCTTCGAAAAAAAGCTTGAGTACTCCCAACAGGAGTAAAACCTATGACTTCCTGGTTACTAGTCTAGTATACTCTACTGATGAGCCACAGGAGACCCCTTGAAAGCTAACTTCATTAAACTTTCTCAGGCACAGCGCTAGGATAAATACTGAGCGATTTCCTTAACAAGTGACGAAGGCTGCGGGTCTGGGGGCATGCTCCCCTGGGAACTTCTGTTTATCATAACTCCCCTTTCACCCAGGAAAGTCCCCTTTCCTAGTGGGTTTCTGGGTCATTGAGACGGGATATTGGCCAGTTCTAATGCCCGGAAATTGGAAAAAAGAATTCAAAAAAACATTTGTCCAAACCATTTTCCAGATTTCAACTCAGGAAATTTTTTTTATGAGAATAATATTATTTATTATGCAAAATCTGACCAATTTCTGAAAAATGGTGGAAACCGGTGTGGATTCTTTCTTGTTTCTGTCTTCGATGGTCGGTTTTGTCAAAGTTTTTTTATAATACACTGAGTTTTTATGTATAATGGCTCATTAAGCCATTCATTATTCATTTCATGATGCTATTTGCTTCAAAAGGCCAAGTTGTAGCTATCAATGTTTTCATAAAATAACTTAATCGATAACTGCATTATTTTTTCATATCTACAGTTCCATTAAGCAATGCAGTGAAGATATGGTGTTGTACTGAGAAGATCTCCACCACAATGAACTGTCAGAATGCTTTGTAACAATTTATAAAATGCTGTATTAAAGCATTGTTCTGATTTGAAGTGGGTTGTGTTTTGTTTGTGTTTGAAAACATAAGCCAAGGTCATCCAATTAGTTTAGTGTGACCTCTGCAATTGGCCGAATTTATGGACGAATTATCCATCTAAGAAGAAACATTGGCCTGAGATGGATAAATCTTCTAGATATAAATCCGGTGTTTAGACCAGTTTTGACCCCAAATTTGTCAGCACATCAGACGAATCAAGTGCAGACAAATTTCAATGGGGCCAAAATTCAAACCAAATTTCTATCTAGATGATTTATCCATCGTGGACGGATAATAAATTCATCCTATTCCAAGACAAATTTTTGTCTAATATAATTTTGTGTCTAATATAGATTTGGCCATTGCCTGACTACATTTCCCAAGGGAGGGGGAACTTCCTAATGAAAAGAATGTCGATACTTGTCAAGAAAATGAGAAAACATGTACCGGTAATTACTATTTTTTGCGTGAATCTAATGATTCAGACTGGAAGATGATAGCTAGATTCTCTACTCCTTATATGAAATCTTTGCAAGTGAACCTTATTTCACTACGGAAAATACAAAATGGAGTTAATAGGTAAGGTCAGATAATGTGGGTATTTGTCAATACATATCCTGTATATGTTGTTGTTATAACATGTTAATCAATTTTTCTGTGCTTTGAATTTCTTTATGGGTACCAAATTTCGTGAGTTAAAATTTCGCTCAGCTTTTTATTCACAGGTCTGAAATGTCACAATGTTTTTATAATCATGAAATAATTTTATATGAAATTAAGGCCCTGTTAACAAGGAGGGAGGGTAACCATGGTGCTAGGGTTACCCTAGCAAGAGGGTTGCCCCAGCACTTGCACACTTCTTTCTTTTTTTTTTCTACATGACATGTTTATAATGTAGGTAGGGTCACCCTAGTGCTAGGTTAACCCTACCTGAGTGCTAGGGCCACCCAAGCAAGAGGATCACCCTACCTACCTTTTAAACGCTCTGCTAGGGATAACTTGCCTACCCGGAACAACTTTCCTCTGTCATGCATGACCAGTAATCTTGACAATTTGAACGGGGTTAATCCAATATCTGAGTGAAACGCATCAGTAAAGCTGGTGAAGTTGACCTGGGGGATAGGGTAACCCCACCTGTGAAATTTGCTTGTAAACCAGAGCTAACTTTAACAACCCTCTCTCCTTGCAAACAGGCCCTAAGTACCAATGAGGTACGTGTAAATAGGTTTTCTGCCGATTACAGGGGATCAAAGTAGTCCAGATTGGATAATCAGACAAAAAGGGAAATGCGGGTCTTGCCTTTGGGAGAAGTGAATTTCATTAAAATTATCTTTTTCCCAAGTCAAAGTCTCTTGTTCCGTTACTGCCTTAAAAAACTGTTGGGTGGGCTGTCTGTAAGGAGAGATCTTATTCTACGGATAACCTCATCATCATCCTTAGGTATCATAATGGCTACCTGTAAACAGTGTATGTGTGAAAGGTGGGATGATGCAATAAGTTTTAAACTGCACCGATTTAAACGGGTCACCGAGTATGTTGACGTCCTGAATATTTTTTCTGCAAGTTCGGGCAATTTGAAATACCTTTACTAAGAGATTACAGCCTAGACAAACAAAAAGGCTTGAGGTTTCAGGAATATTTACAATATTTTTTCTATATAATGAAAATTATTACGGGCAACGCCCTTTATAATGGACACTGTAGGGACCTTGAGTTAGTGTCCTCATTAGTGAGAGTCCGTACACTTTATTGTACATGTAGTTGAGTGGTAATTTACGAAGGGCTGCTACTTTTGGGTAGGCCAATACTTTCGGGATTTATTAGGAAGGTAAAAAGCGAGCCGTCTTTTTTTCGGGGGGGGGGAGTACCTTTAGTTTCAGAATTCTACGGTGTATTTGTCAGCTGATCAGTAGGAAAACCACCGTTCTCGCGCGATTTTCCAGCTTCCTCGCGAGTGGCCTGGTTACATTGCACAGGCCGGCACCATCTTAGGAGGTACGTAATACGTGGATGGAAAGATTGTCAGAAAACAAGGGCGCGTTCGCGATCATCTACTCGTCTTATTTATTTGGTTGTATGCACTCAGTCATCAAGCCTAAACTGCACCTTTTTACAAGTCAGACATCGAGGAAAAAGTTAACAATGACTTGTTTTCCATGTGGCAAAATCTATAGCATTCGTTGTCGCGCGGTGACATTGTTCCTCTCTGTGGCATTTACGTTGTTTGTGACTCTATTTTATGGTGAGAGTATTTTAAAGACATTATATTTGGTACCAGGATCGCAATCAACATCAGCTATTTATGGAATTATGTTTGATGCGGGTAGCACAGGTAGCAGAATTCACGTTTTTACATTCGTCCGGACGGGAGGTAAGCCTGCCTTCACTGTTGTAGTCACTTATACACCTCGTGGCTTTATTGGGCATAAAAAAAAACATTGACAGCTCTATTCCTTATCTATTCGGGGAAATTCTCCAGGGATCTTCCGAAGGGACGTAGAAATCAGCAACAGGCCAGCCTTCGACTCCACATTCCTTGACTATCTGGGAACGTTTCGTTTTTCCCTCCCCTAGCTAGCCTGTGAACAGGCTCTCTGTTTGGGGAAAAATAGCGAGGAAAGGGAAGGGAAAGGGGGGAGAGAGCCTGTAGACAAACATTTGAGGCCGCTATTCCGCCCTCTTGTAATTATCCTGCCGATCATCTGTCAGTAAGATCGTTATCGGTCAATCAATTTCGCGCGTGAGTAACTCCTGGGAAAATTAACAGGAAATGAGTGGTGTGTTGCTCCGTCTGAAAACAGAGTGAAATGGAGCATGAACGTCATTGTTGATTTTGCAAAAAGTCGTTGATCTCCGGTAAGAGGATTTAAAACAAGCCGTTCGTCTTGCTAGTTCGGTTTGTAATTTAACAAGCCGCTGCAATGAGCGAACTTGGAATGCGGAAGGTACAGATACTATCATGACTTCTCCAGAAAGTGAAGCTTCGAAGATAAGTACAAAGAGATCAGCAGCGCTTCTATCGCCGTCAGGAATTACATGGTAGGCCGACACGACTTTTACTTTATGCCAAAATGCTGCTTGTTCCCATAAGTTTTTTCCTCTGCAGGGTAGATTATTCTCTGGAAGGTTCTACATTTTCACTGAGCAAATGTGATTTTAGCCGCTTGTTTCACACTGAGAGGTCGCACACATATCGATTTACTGTGGTTTTTGTTTCTGGTCGACAGGATTTGTCCTCTGATGCAAGAGCATTTCCTTTTTTTGCGGCTGAATAAGGGTCTTACTTTTCTCCAAAGTGCCTTCTCGATCTGAATAACTAAGCGATTTTCTTTAGTCCGTGAATGTAATGATTTTCTGCAATGTTGTATTCTGACGCTGGGCCCAGTTCGTCAGTGTTTAAAAATTATCAAGGATGGTTATTTACAGATCCAAAATTATAAGATTGAAATGCAGCTTAAACCGAAGCTACATCAACTATGGAGAATTGCATTGTTCTTCGTTAACTATAAACTCCAGCTTAGTGTTTTTGTAAAGACAGTTTGAGTCTTTTGACCGGAGCGCGTAGTTCCTCCCCGTGGTAATAGTCTTTGGACTGTTTTGTTAATTGCCACTCTGTGATCAAATCGCGTGCTACGTGCCGACCGAAAAGCCGATGTCAATCAGACCTGTCAACAGTCAGTGTTCTCGCCAATAGGAACTTGCATCAGGATCTGATGCACAGCGGGTGCCGTGGAACGGCGGCCCCAAAGGTCTGTCCACAGGCCTTTTCGCTTTTCCCTCTCCCCACGCCGCTCGACTTAAGGCCTGTTCACAGGCTATCCCCTAGCATGAGAAAACAGCCGACATTTGGCGACGCTACCACTGGTTTCCCCACCAAATGACGTCTGAGAAACGAGCGTAGAAATTCCATACTGATGACCCGTCACTACACAGATCTCAGTAGTGCTTCTGATTGGTCCTGCTGCGTGGGAAATTTGATTCAACCAATCAGAAGCGCCACGCAGATCTGGGTAGTGACACCTAACCAGTATGGAATTTCTGCACTCGTTTCTCAGATGTCATTTGGCGGGGAAACCAATGGTAGCGTCACGAAATGTCTGCTGTTTTCTCAGGCTACCCTTGTCGGGAAACGTCCCCAGAGCGGCAAGGAGGAGGAGCAGCTGCTCAGAGGCCAAGGGTTGCTGTTCTTTGGAACATTGATTGTATCGAATTACTACACAAACGGATTTAAGTTGAATGCTGTCAGTTGAAACAAAGTCAATGTTCAAATTTTCTCTGAAAGTGAGAAAAGAATTTTTTTTATTGTTTTAATGATATCAGCTGTGGAAAATGGCGCCGATTTACCCAGGGACTGATGATTTATAAAAGGCTGAAAATTGGCCTAAATTAGTTTCATCCTTTGTCTTTTTATTATATCTCCTGTTATTCCATAGTCATTACCTTAAGCTGTTTTCCAGACGTTTGGATAATATTTTACCAGGTTTATAGGACAGAATGACGGTTTGCTCAATTCAACAGTATAAAAACAAAGGCCAGTGTATGCAAAGCACACAATGTCAACTCACAACATGTTGTAAGATTCCTTGGTAATTTAATTGCCAGTGGAGACTGTGGATGAGATGATCCAATATCTGTATCTGTATAATATGTCAATTGACTGACTGGCTTGAGGTTCCTTTGGCCTCTTTTAATAATTTATTCCTAATTGACAGCTGTCTTGTTTTGTGTAAAGGAAGGCAGTTGAAGCTCACAAAGGAATACTTTTATCAAGTAAAACCAGGTCTTTCGGCATATGCTAGTGATCCCAAACAGGTTAGTAAGAAATGTCGATAATCAGAAGTTATGTTATGACCAGCTCCCAGTTGGCTTGATTAGAACGCTGCCTGGGTATCTCAGAAGTCAGGGTTCAAATCCTGGCAAGCTTGAATTTTGTCAGCCTTTTTTTCACAACTATATTATATACTGATCCAAACATGTAAGTTGCGTCTTTAGCTGTGATGATCTTCTTTGCATTTATTCCAAATCACTATTGTTAGTGTGTAACCCTAATCGCTATTTCCGGTACTTAACCCTGACCTGACCCCTAACTTGACATTGTGACTCATTTACTCGTCTGGCTCATAAAACAAGCTTTCTCTGTATTATTGTTATATTTATTTTGCCTACGTTCTCTCGTCTTTTCTTTAGAAATAAAAGACAGTTACATGTATCCAGATTATAAGTTGAATGCTGTCATTGAATCTTAACCCTTTGAGTCCCAATGGTGACCAAGATCAATTTTCTCCTAACAATCTCCATATGCTGTCAAGAGAGAAGTCATGAGAATTAATAAAATGATCACCCAAGAGAAAAGGCCTTGATCTTACATTAAATTCTCTCCACTAATTCTTAAAGGAAATGTATGGAGATCAGTTTGGAGAATTTGTATGTTGATATTGGGACTTAAAGGGTTAAGGGGTTGATATTTTTTTATTTGCACTTGTAGCTTGACTTTGTGCTTAACCAAAGAATCTGTAGTTTAAAAGACAAACGCTGAGTAAGGAATAAGAGATTTTTAAGCTATCAGAAATCAAACAATTTTGAAATCATTTTATTCTAAATTTCATCGAAATCTAGTGACAAAACATTCACCAAATTATGTTTTGTCATATTTGTCTGACTATTCAACTTTGTAGGGGGCTCATTCAATAGAGAAATTACTTCAGAAGTCAAAAGAAATCATACCTAAGGAGAGATGGGAATCTACTCCTGTCTCTCTGAAAGCCACTGCTGGTCTTAGAATGCTGCCATCAAACTCTTCTGAGCAATTACTTAGTGAGGTATGAGTGGCTTTCATTCCTTTAAGACATCAAGGTTAAGCTAGGCTCTGCCCCGAGGTCCAACCACTTAACCTTTTATGTACCATGTTTTACAGAAAAGGTACCCCTTTCAACTCATATACCTTTTTCTTGACAGAGGTTACCCATTTCACATACTAATAATGCCCCTTTCGATTCATATACCTTTTTTTTGACAAAGGGTACCCCTTTCACATACTAATTAGAATGTTGCATCCCATTTAACTGCTGTAAATTCATTGCATGTGGATAAATCAGTAAACAAGATAGTTTTCTTGTCTTTTTTCACAGCCATAAAATGTCCGTAATAGCCCATTTAGGTCCTTTCACAGATCACTATGATGAATTTCCCTACCCTTTCATATACTTCAACTAGAGAAACCCGAACCCTTTCTATATCTGAAGCCTGAAAATGGTACCCATTGCGGGTGGAGCCTTCCCGTCTAGGCCATTATAGGGAGTGTACCTCCCCTGGCTCTCCCTGCACCCCCCTTCCCCCCACCCCGGCTCACCCCCTGTTGTTGTATAACAATATTTTATGTGAAAAGGTGTCAAACAAAAGAAAAGGAAATCTTGGCTCCCTGATGATATTTCATCAAAAGATTCAAGTGTTCAGAAGACAAATAACCTCATTATGTCGTAAGTGACAGCCAAGTGAATTTATCAGTCTGCATTAATTTACACTTTGTCTACGTATGTTTTATACTGTTTGCTTTCAGGTTGGTAGGTTATTTACAGATTCACCATTTTTTCTTCCTGGCCAAAGCGCAGTCAGCATTATGGATGGTCCAGATGAGGGACTATTTGCCTGGATTACTGTCAATTTTTTATTAGGTTAATGTCACATACAGTCTCTCTCTCAGCTGTTTTTAGTGTCATCACATAATGCTCCTCTCCACAGAGTGCAGGGAAAAGCGTTGTGTGACGATACTTAAAAACAGCTGCTCACATAATATTATTATTATTAGTCATGTCCAGCAATGTGAAGCTCTATTTAAAGTGTGACTTATTCTCTGTGATGAAAAGCTCTCATAAGGCCAGGGACCACTCCCGGAAGCAACTGCGATACATAAACAGTGTACGCCAATCTTTCATAAGTGATGGCCCTTAATATGTTTGTGACATGGGTGCTTATTTGGATGGCCAGCTCTAGTAGGGAACACTTTCATGATCTCCCGAGGTGCGCGTGGTCATTCATGAGAGCTTCGACTATATTTATGGTTTTTTTTACTGTTTATAACCAAAGGTTAGGGAATGTGGGCAAGTTTCAAAATGCTGGGGCTAATTTGCATACATTTTTAGTGATAGAAGTGAAATGTGCGTGATCAGATTGGTGGTAGGAGGTACAAATATGCTTGATCAGACTATGATCTATGCATTCCATTATTTCATTAGTAGTAGAAGTCGCGTCAAAATTAATGCTTGTTACATTAGTGCTAAGCATGCATAATAGCAACCTGGATGTTATGATAGCAGGCTCCTCTTGTCGCTCACAACAAACATTTATGTGCTGTTTCTATCAACAGGAGGCCTAACAAGGGACAGTTCAGGGATGTTTGGTACACTAGACCTCGGTGGAGGATCAACGCAAATCACCCTCAATCCAGTTGATCCGGTTTGTATTTAATTACTCTAAGAGTACATGTAAATGTCAAGATTTTTCAAAATATTTATGCTAACCCTTTCCCTAATCTTCGTCTGGTTTTACTTGGAGAGAACAGCTTCCTTGTAGTTGCATGATAGCATTTTCACGTAGCAGTTTATTTAGAGATGATTTTGGCATGAATCTGGACCAAAATTAACTTCTACTTACCATGGCCAGCAAAAAGTGCAAACTAAAAAATGGCAGTTTTATCATCTAATGACACGTGTCTTTCTTTTCTCAGATTTGCCCCTCTCAGTAATATATTGGCCCCTGTTGTTCTTTCCCAAGCCAAAAAACCATATACATATGTACACACAATCCAAAATGTCAAGCTCCTTGATCCTCACCTCCAGAAAACACTTTTGGTAATGCATACAATTGCCTAGAAATTTACATTATTCATTCTTTCTTTAAAGGAAACTTTAAGAGATTCACCAGAGGGTTTCTCTAGACATTTAAACATTGCTGGCAGGCAATTTACACTTTATACACACAGGTAATATTACTTATCCATGATGTTATAATTATATCATGTAAATGAGAAATCAAAATTAAATACCAGTATATGTACATGCCTTGGTGGGATAAGGTGGGGTACGGCCTTGTATAAGCTGTAAATTACAAGTGGTACCAAGGGGTATGAATCCCTTTGGTGTGGAAATTAGTGAAGATTTTAATGTTCTTGTCTTGTTTTTATTGCATGTCACAACATTAAGAAAAACAAATTATTCATATCAAATTTTCTAGTTGTAATATGATAATATAAGGAAATGCTCCTTAATTTCCAAGAGTTCAAAAGACAAAAAAAAACAAACAAACACATAAATTACCAAAATGACATCCAGCTAAAGAAATGTTAAAGAGTTTTCGCCTGATACTGCAGATTCTATTGCAGAGGTTTAAATCATAAATCCATGACTTATATCATATATGTTTCTTAGAATATTTGTTTTAACATTCAGTTATTTAGGTCTTGGGCTAATGGCTGCAAGGACATCTATACTTCAATTAGGAAATAATGGAAGGGATTGTAAGTGTTTATATTATTGCAGGGTTTCCATTAAGAATGACCTAGTAGCAGGAGAAAGGTGTGACGTTACAGGAGAATATTTTGAAAGACCGAGGCTTCACTTCTGAATAAAAAATAGTTGTAAGCTACTGAACATTCGTAGGAGAATTCTTGGTAGTAAACAGAGAATTCTCCAATCTCCGATGCCCAATGGACACCCTGTTATTGTTTATTTCTTTAAATCAGGTTTATTGTTGATGTGTTTCAGAGCCACCTTAGTTTTCTTCAAGTAAGGGTGGCTCTTAACTTCACAAAAACATGCATTTACTGCCAATTAAATTTGTCATCAAATGATCTGTTTAAATTTTTATGTGTAATCTATCATTCCTGTTAATGGTCTCTGACACCTATATGTAATGTGCCGAAACCATTTTTTAAGTGGGCTCCCTGTAATTCCCAATACCCACATACAATTTCTATGCTGTTCTTTGCTTTCTTCTCTACTAGCAAATGGTGAAGACATGAAATTGAGTCCTTGTATACATAGCAGTTATAGTGAAATGTGGAAATTTGGAGGCAAAAGCATCTCCATAGGGTAAGAGTGTTGTTAATCAATCTGCTATTTAGGGCCACGATCATTTTTGATTATCATCACAAAGTGTCCACACAATACTCAAATACCCTTAAAAAATGCCACAGATGGAAGCAAAATTACCACTAAATGTCGCCCTTCGAATTCAAGGACTGTATAAGAATAAGAAAAAACTTGGTACTACTTGGTATTCTAGTACACCATCCAAACAATTTTACCGCCATCAGCTGTTTTTTTAAGAAGTTGTAATATTAGATATCACTATTTAGGGTTGATTTCCACTGTCAAGTAATTTTTACAGGCATACGGGCATAAAATTTACGTTCGCAAATAAAATAGAGGCAATGCATGAAAGGTCGCTCATAAACGTTAAAGTTGAACATCGCTCAACTTCTCGTTTAAGCTCAGCGCTTTTTATCTTGCCTCTATTTTATTTATGTGATTAAAATCTACATATGTTAGCATGCGTAGCCAAAAATACGTCAGTGGAAATCAACCTTTAGTAATGTTTTTTTCCGTGAAAAATATACTTTAATTTATATATGTTGTATTTTGAATCAACATCGCCTCGTAGGGGTCTCAGTAGTTATGGATTCAGTGCTTGTAAGGAACAAGCCGTGAGAGTTATTTCTGATTCAAAAGTTCATAAGCCAGGTAAGGAAAGGTAGAAGTGGTTCTCTGAGTGAAATATTATTTTTACCTCTTTAGAAAAGATTGTTTAATAACTTCCCTTTTGTTTTGTTGGTGTTCAATTGTGTCCATATTTCAAGAGCATTAACATTGTAATAGTTTTTAATACAGACTAAACTCCATCTGCAATTACCTCTAGTAAGTGACCCCCTCCCATAAGGCGACCACCGATCCAAAACACAGAAAATTTTCCCCAAAGCCCTTAATAATATAAGAACCTCTCATAAAGAACATGTCTCATATAAGCACTTGCAAAAACTTTTTGGCTCGATGGTTTTATAGTTTTCCATTGTTTTTAACCTCTTGAAAGCAACCACTTTTTTGACGGGTCATTAAGTCCGGTCTCTTTGTTTGCTGTATGTACTACACCACTTGGACATTATAAAGAAATTCAGTGTCAACATGGAACTACACCAAATGTAATGATTGACCTGCACCCATCCAAACTTCTTATTTCATTGGTCCCTGTAACCTACACTACCGATTGTTTTCAGGGATAGGGGCATTGTTATGTCACCATCCCTAATGTTTTCCCAGCCAATCACAAACCTTGTTTTAAATTGGTGCAGGTCAGCCCATATGTAACTTAGAAATTGCATTCAATAAACTCTCTGCCAAAAAGTAGGCGTGTCTAGACCTCTTCTCAGAAGTGATCCCCTGGGTTAAATCATTGCACTTCGGGTGGTTACTTAATACAAAATGTTCAACACTATAGCATAAGACAGTAATGGTAACAGGACTGAGTGGAGTCCAATTCGGTCTGTAATCATACGAGTGATTAACAAAATTGGACGACCGCGTAGCGGGAGTCCGATTTGTTTAATCACGAGTATGATTACAGACCGAATTAAACGACAAGAAGTTCTGTTATTGGTAACAGAACTTCTTGTCGTTTAATTCGGTCTGTAATCATACTCGTGATTAAACAAATCGGACTCCCGCTACGCGGTCGTCCAATTTTGTTAATCATAACTTTAACAAAATTTGTGATATAATAAGCTATTTTTTAAATCAAAACACAAGAAATTCAAAATTTTGTTTTGCTAGCAGTGAGAAAAAAGCCATTTAAGTGCGCGCGTGATGGCGCGTACTGTCCAATTACTTAGGCATGACATGTGCTGTCCTATCAAACTGTCCAATTAAGGCTGAAATCAGGGCAGTTGATAGCCAATCATATTTGACAATTTTGTTATAGTTATGATTAAGGTGTAAATGTTGTCATTTAAGGATGACAGATTTTTTTTCCTGATCCTTATTAGTGGGTATTCAGTCAATTGAGATGTACGCCTTCTCATATTTTTCTGACAGAGCTGTAGATATGGGATTAATAGGTAAGACCTATTCTGTAGTTATAGTGAATATCCATACTTCCCTCCCCCACCCCCTACTAGAAAAAGGAGTAGAAAATCCAGGGGGAGTAGGCTCCCAATTTAAGAGCAATCCAAATTGGAATTTCCACAGGTGAGGGCATCATAGAACAATAAATAATAATTGAGGGGCTCAGTGCAAGAAAGTCCTCCGAGTTTTTTGGTGATTTTTGAAAGTGCTTCAAAAGTGCTGAATTTTGGCACGTCACTGTTATTTTAGTACTCAGGCAATGTTGGGAACCTTCTCTTGCTAGTTTGAGCTGAAGTTTGCCAAAAAATTGTTCTTTCCAAGCAGCATTCTTTGCGATTGTTATTTTCTTCCATAGGGGGTTTCTGGAAATATTCATGTAAACATTTAATATACAACAATACCGTTCATTCATTTGAACCCTAATATTAATAGCATAGGTTGTTTTAACACCCTCCCCCCTTAAACTAAACATAGATGTAAATAAATATATACAAGCTTTTGCGTGAAAACATGATATCTTCACATGTGAAAATAACATGTTATCTTCACTCGTGAAATATCACTTGCGCTGTGGCTACATAATAAATCCCACCTTTCACAAGAAAAAGCTATTAATAAAAGTGAAATGGTTTGGTATTTCATTGGTGTTTATATAATAAATAAAACATTACATGGCTGCTTGGAAATATGAAATTTCTCTTCTCGTGTTGAAAACATGAGAGAGCACAGCAAACAAGTGAAATATTTTTCAACACGAGAAGAGAAATTTTGTATCTCTGTGCGGTCATGTAATATCCTCTATGTATGTTATGTTATGTTGTTCTGTTACGAAACAAGAAGCTTTTGGTTTCAGATAAAGAAAAAGGTGGTACCATAACTGTAGGAGATTTTATAAATGGAGCAACAAAAGGTATAGGTTTAATTTTATATTATGTTAAGAAAGTAATTTGCTTTACTTTTTAACATTTTGATTTTTCTGATGTCAAGCCTGCACTGGGATACTGGGTTCTTTGTCAACGGTTGTACCACAAGATTTTATGCTCAAACACAGGAGGTCTAAAAAATGTAATCCTCACATCTCCATTAACCAGTTCAGAAACAAGAGGGAAACCTGGGCTGAGTTAACCTTTGCAAAGACACCTGCGACTGTTACTGGGGACAGGGAAAATATTGGCCAATAGCTGCCCGGCACCTCGGCCCCTAGTAACGATGCCAGAAGTCTTTGTGAAACCCAACTCTGCCTAGCAGTGATTTTGTTACAAATAATTATGGTGAGTCCTGGGACTTATCTTGTGAAAAATCATGAGTCCAGTCAAGAGCCATTAAGTCCCTGTTCAAAACACAGTGAGTCCCTGGGTCTTTTGTAACCACACAGTTAATCTGAAGACAGACTCCAAAACTCTTTATCACAGTTTACTGAAAAAAAGTATACTCTTTCTATCGTAAAGCACATTACAAAGACTAACACAAATAAGCATCATTTAACAACAGCCACAGTATCAGCCACAGAAATCACACGAACAGGATATTCAACAATTAGTAAAATCCAACTAGTGGTCCATTATCAATGCTGCATTCTGATTGGTTGACCCACTACTAGGCTATATGTTATAGCCAACTAGTAGCAAAAAGTGCTGGCTTTTTGGCAGCAAAAAAGGATTAAAGTCTAGCTTTAACTAGCTAAAGTTGTTTTGTCTCGATATTTTTGACCAACTAGTCGGATTTTACTAAAACAATTATTCCTCTCACCCCATGGCCTCTGACTCAATAACCCATTCGCCCTTCGGCCTGGTGTGGTTATTGACTCAGAGCCCATTCGGGCTCGAGGAATAATTGTTAAAAATCATCTACAGATCGATCAATCGATCTTTGCGTCCTACGGGACGTATAACACAAATTATTTTGCATTTTTGGGGATTTTTATGCGTCAGGAACACATAGTTTCCTGCTCATTTCTAACGTGGTGAATAATCCATCTTAGGAGTAAAAAGGTTATGGGTAAATGTTAAGACTTCATCTAAATGTGGGTTCTTACATTGTTTTAACAGTTTGTTCCAAGAAAGATGATTCTTTACCTTATCTCTGCCTGGATGCAACTTATATAGCTGTTTTACTTAAAGAAGGGTATGGCTTCACGGAGGACAGAAAACTTACAGTAAGCGTCCAGAATTCATTTATTCATTTACCAATATTTATAAAGAATTTGCCCCGTTAGCAGAGCTGATATGTACAGGGTTTGTTAGCTGATATGAAATTTGACTTCAAGGGTTGTACCACTACCACTATAACACCATGATAACTTTATTCACTACCATCACCTATGTCACATTTACTATTACTACCACCGTGAGCATCACAACGACCTTCACAACCACATTGATCATGTCCTTCACTACCACTAACACATTAAAAACCTGTTCACTACTACCACAATCACTACCTTCATTAACACCACTACCACTGTCACTACCACCACCACTTCCTTCACTAATGCCACAATTGTCACTACCATCACCTTCACTACCTCCACCCATCACCATCACTACTGGCACTACCACCACAACCACCTCCACTACCACCATCTTGAACACCAACACCACCTTTACTACTACCACCACCCCCACCACTTTCACTACTGCCATCACCACTGTCACTACCACCTCCATCACCACCTTCACCACCATCAGCACCATCACCATCACCACTGTCACTACTACCTCCATCACCACCTTCACCACCACCAGCACCATCACCATCATCACTGTCACTACCACCACCTCCTCCACCACCTCCACCACCACTACCTTCACTACCACCACCACCACCACCACCTCCACCACCACCAGCACCATCACCATCATCACTGTCACTACCACCACCACCTTCACCACCACCATCACCATCACTACTGTCACTACCACCAACACGACCTCCACTACCCCACCACCTTTTACTACCACCATCACCATCACCTTTTCCACCACTACCACCACCACCACCACCTTCACTATTGCCATCGCCATCACCACTGCCACTACCACCACCACCACTACCACCACCACCACCACCACCACCTTCACTATCACCATCACTATCACCACTGTCACTACCACCACCACCACCACTACCTTTACTACCACCATCACCACTGCCTTCATTACCACTACCAGCATATCACCCCCATCACCACCACTTTCAGTACAACCAAGACCACTGCCTTTAATACCTCCACAACTGTCACTACCAACACTGCCACATTCACTACCACCACCACCGACACCTTCATGACTACTACCACTAACACTATCTTCACCTCCACTATCATTTCTTTCACTGCCCCTTTTTACCACTACTGCTAACTCCTTCACTTCCACCACCATCAACTCCATCACTTCCAAAAATACTATCACCAGTACCACCATCTTCACTGCTGCCTCTACCACCAGCACCACCTTCACTGCCAATGTCATCATAGAGGATTGCGTGAGGAAATTTTTAATTTTTGCCATTTAGTTTTTTCTCCACTGTGTTTATACATGCGCAAGCAGATAGTTGAGGTTGTTTTGTTTTTATTGCAGCTTCGAATGAAAATAAATGATGTTGAAATCAGCTGGGCGTTAGGTGCAACACTTGACCTGTTTGAAAAGATGACGTAACACTCGCATAGCACTGGAGAGGATCAGTTCCAAGCCGATGTGGTGAAATAACTTACACCGCAATGGAAAATATCTTGTTTCTTTTAATGGAGAAACTTACTTATGCAAAACTCCAGTGAGTGGATTTTAATGACATCTGTACATGGTGGCCATGTTGAAGGAGTAAACAACAACACTAAAATAAATTATTTGCATGAAAATAAAACTTTTTTCCAATGGGGAATTGTTTTATTGTTTTGCTCCTCCAACAAGGCTGTTGTATACATAAGCTATCAGATAGCTGTAAAACAGGAGTTTGTGTATAAACCCTGAAGAGAGAGAATTTGATATTATTATCTTTCATTGATGCTAGGAGTGATACTATACTACCATGTCCTTAAAGGTCAACAGGGTGATTTTTTAAAGGTTTTTTCTATGATTGTAGGTACTCTTTTTAAGTGCCTTAGACCATCCCAATAAAATGTTCCATTTCCCGTCGCCCGACCGACCCATTTTTTTCGAAAAGTAAAAAAAAAATTCCAGATTCACTAGTCAAAGAAGCAAGTACTTTAATTTACAAGCACACGATCTTGTTTCATTAACAACAATTGGTATGATGTGATGTCCTTGTCTTTAATTAACATCAACCTCCGTTCTTTTAAATGCTGGTTAGACATTTGATGGTCGTAAAGGCCACGTTTTCGAGTTGACTTAACCAGGCTTTCTTACTTAGAAGCCCAGCTTTCTCTGGAACCCAGACCCCTTCAAGTATTCATTCATTTTATTTTTTTGCCTGACGGAGCGACCCACCATCACAAGAGGCAGGGTGATGGGAAATGAAACATTTAATTGGGATGGCCTTATTAACTGTGTGTAATAACAATGGTAAAGGAGATTATTTGTCTTAATATCATATTCTTTCCTATAAATAAAATTGTATAACACAGTCTTCTATGTTCTCTACTTAATCTGTTTACAACATTGCTAATTGATACACCTTATCCTTCTTTTTTTATATACAAGTGATCTTCTTCTTTTTGCATGAAATGTGTGAATCTTCATACCAATACCATCCACCTTCTATATTCCAATTCATCAATAATTACCTGCAAATATTTTGCAATTTTTTTCATTGTTTGTTTTGGGCAAAATAGACCTAAAAAAATTGTTTAGAGTTGTCTAGGATAGAAAAGAAGCCTTTGTATACTATAAAAATATCGATTTTATAAAGTCGCCAAATTTGAATTTTTGCAAAGGGGTTAACCCAGGATTTTGGTTAGAAATGTTGAATTCTTTCCTTGTTTGTTTCAGGGCAAAAAAGGCCTAGCAAAATGTTTAGATATGTTTTAAATAGAAAAGAAGTCTTTTTAGACTATAAAAATGTCGATTTTGTATAGTCATCGAATGTAAAGTTTTGCGAAGGGGTTAACCCATCATCCATCATTTTGGTCAAGAATATTGAATTTTTTCATTGTTTGTTTTTGGGCAAACTAGACCTAGAAAAAATGTTTAGAGTTCTTTAAGTTAGAAAAAAAGCCTTTCTAGACTATAAAACTTATCAATTTTACAAAGTCGCTAAATTTGAATTTTTGAAAGGTGTTAACCCTAGATTTTGGTCACAAATATTGAATTCTTTCATTGTTTGTTTCGGGGCAAAAAAGACCTAGCAAAATGTTTAGATATATTTTAAAAAGAAAAGAACTCTTTCTAGACCATAAAAATATCGATTTTGTATAGTCACCAAATTCAAATTTTTGCAACCCATCATTTTGGTCAAAAATGTTGAACTTTTTCATATTTCGTTTTTGGGCAAACTAGACCGAGCGAAAATATCTAGAGTTCTTTAATATAGTAAAGAAGCCTTTAGATATTTTTAAATAGAAAAGTATCCTTTCAAGACTATGAAAATATCGATTTCTTATAATCGCAGAATTTGAATATTTTCAAAAGGGTTAATCCATGAGTATGGTCAAAAATGTTAGTTTTTTTCTTATAGTCCAGAAAGACTTGTTTTCTCTCTCAAACATTGTTCAACAGCATATCCAGGCCAATTCAACAGAACACCACACATGCAAGAAATTTCAAATTTTTGAACAAAATCGTGGGTTAACCCCTTTGGAAAAATGCAAATTTTTCGACTTTTTTAAAATGACCAGTTTGTAGACTAGAAAAGCTTGTTTTTCTTTTAAAACATTTTTAAACAGTATATCAGGCCTATTTTATAGTAAAACACACCTGCAAGAAATTTCAAATTTTTGACCAAAATCGTGGGTTAACCCCTTTGCGAAAATGCAAATGTTCGGACTTTTTTAAAATGACCACTTTGCAGTCTACAAAGGCTTGTTTTTCTTCTTTTTTTAACCACTTTGGAAAAATGCGATTTCTGGGACTTTGAGAGATTGACGTTTTTATGGCCAAAAAAGGTTTCTTTTCTATCTAGAACATTATTAAACATTATTTCTGGTCTTATTTTGAGGGAAAACAAATAAAGAAAAAAATTACATTCTTTGACCAAAAGCATGAGTTAACCCCTTTGGAAAAATGCGATTTTTAGGACTTTGAAAGATGGATTTTTTTTATGGCCAAAAAGGTTTCTTTTCTATCTAGAACCTTATTAAACATTATTTCTAGTCTTATTTTTAGGGAAAACAAATAAAGAAAAAAATTGCATTTTTTGACCAAAAGCATGGGTTGGAAAAATGCGATTTCTGGGACTTTGAGAGATTGAAGTTTTTATGGCCAAGAAAGGTTTGTTTTCTATCTAGAACATTATTTAACATTATTTGTAATCTTATTTTGACCGAAAACAAAAAAAGGAAAAATACATTTTTTGACCAGAATCATGGGTTAACCCCACTGGAAAAATGCGATTTCTGGGACTTTGAGAGACTGAAGTTTTTATGGCCAAAAAAGGTTTCTTTCCTATCTAGAACATTATTAAACATTATTTCTAGTCTTATTTTGAGGGAAAACAAATAAAGAAAAAAATTACATTTTTTGACTCAATCTGGGAAAAAGGTAAAAAACGGGGTCAAATAGCAAATAGGAAAATTATCGGCGAGCGAGCTTTTTCCGACAATGCTGAGCCTGGACCCAGGCTAAAACGCAATATTATATATACTTCAGTTAAGCAGTGTTCAGCTCTATTCAGGGCTCGAGTTAGTAATCTTTGTTGCGTTTCCACTTTTCAGTTATGTTTTGTCCATGGATATTAAAGAGTACGATAAGTTGACTTCTGCAGGGGAAATTGTGCTCGACGTATTTTGCGGCTTACTACCGTTGTGTTTGCGAGAGTTCTCAGAAGACAAACTCATATATCAGAAAAACGCCGTATGTGACAGCCCTACAACCCCACGCTAGGCAAAGATTAATTTTTGTCATGGTATTCTACCCCTCCCTCCTTTTTTCACCTTTTGGGACATACCGTATTTATTCGAATAAGCGCCCATCCTAAAGGTAGAAAAAGTTAATAAGCGCTCAGCCTCGAATAAGCGCCCACCCCCTCTTTCTCCCAATCAAACTTAAATAAGCGCTCACCCCCACCCCACCCACTTGAGTGAATAAATTCTAATAAGAGACTTCCCCGAGGACGGAGTTTTCTTCAGAGTATTTTACAGCAAGCTTGCTTTGTTACTTCTTCGCGTTTTGTTATTAGCATTTATTGTTTTGTTGCAAAATAAACATACTTCACTTGCTGAAAATGGTGAAAATTTAATAAGCGGCCAGCCTCGAATAAGCGCCCACCTCGAATAAGCGCCCACTCTCAAGGTCCAAAAATTTAATAAGCGCCCCTGGGCGGTTAATCGAATAAATACGGTACCTTTGGGAGGTGTTGTAGTATCATTGTCGTGAAACTCTCGGCCTGCTCTCGGCTAACTCTCGGTCAGAGCGTCTCGGGTCACGTGGTCCAAACGAAGATCCTGGGAAAACGCCGTACACGTGGTACAAACCAAGAACAAGCGAACATGGCGGAGAAGTCGGTGGAAAAGGTTTCGTATTTTTTACAGAGGTTTTTGTACGGATTCAAGTCTACCCTTCAAAAGGGAAACGCACAATTAAAAAAGGTGCTTAATTGACCGCAAAAACGGTTTAACACTTGAAATGTTTCATGTGGGGTTTGAGAAACGAGACAGTTTTTCAACATAAGTTATTTGTTATTTGCTTTTTCAGTGCTTCACGTTAATTCTGTGTCCAGTTTAGCCGCAGAGCGACAACTACCTGGGCCATGTGAGCAGGTAAGGTTAAAGTAAGAGGTCTAAACTGGCATTTGACTAACAAAGACAAAAGCCAAACGAATGCGACATCATATTTAATGGTTAATTTAATTTAATTAATTATGCACCTATCAATGGTTTGCCCCAGGATGGGGGGGCCGGGCAACCCACGGGAAATTTGACATTTCAGGTTTTCAAATGTCAATTTCCCCACCCTTGGGTCTCCCTTGTAAGTCAAATTCCCACCCCTGGGGACCACAGACCTTCATAGTAAGTTAAACGAAATGATAGGCACTCACAACAAGTTTATGGCAGCACTCTTGCAGACAGTAAAAGTACTTGTTGGCAAATGGCCCACACCAAGTTTGTGCATTTTCCTAAATGAAGAAGGCATATTCTAGGTATTTAGCATGGTTCAGTTTTGGTTAGCAATTTCACACACATTCTGTACTGCCCAAAATACCTGTGAATTGTTTCACATAGTATTTACAGCAACACAAAATGTGCAATGCCAAAACATGTCGTCATCAAGAGGGGTTAATGCACAGACTTGGTGGTACCAATTATCACAGGTATCACACTGGATCCATTCTACAGTTTCAGCTTTATCATCTTTTGGGTCTTCTTTTTTGCAGTAGCCACAGAGTACCTTAAACGAAAGAAGCGCCCAAGTCAGTGCCCAATTTAAATCATGACAATTTTGAATTGCAATAAAACGGTATTGTGGGAGTAACTGTGTTTTTGTCTACTTTTACTTAAAATCAATATACAGACCATCGATGAGCCTTTCTTGTTGCATCCTTTCTTTTTCCTTGTTTGGGCTGCCTTTGCTGCTCCTCTCTTTCTGTTGTCCTGAACAGTCTTTAGGTGGGTAAACCACAGCACAACCTTGAGGTTATTAAAAAAGTTGTTGGGTTTAAATCTATTATTGTCCTAAGCAGAAATTGTAATGAATCTTAAATTCTGGTCAGTACAATTCTAATGTGTCTTACCTCATTTGTGGGTAGAAGGACTTGTTTAGCTGCTCCTCCAGGTCTTTTGCATCCTTGTCATACAGAGTTTTCAGTACTTCACTTGGAGGCGAAGATGCCACTCTAGTTGAATCATCACAGCAGAACAACTCGTCAGGCATCATATAGTGTCCTGCACATGTCTTGCCTTTACAGTCAGCACACGCTGGATTGCCATAGGACCTAGGTAAAAAAGGCCGATAAGTCTACAGAAACAAGAAAGAGCTTGTGCGTTTTTTTTTTGTTTCTTTACCTGTTCAGGTCTGCAACAGGAAGTGGAGTGAAACTCAGTGGAGGTCCTCCGTCATACCAAGTTTCCTCTTTAGGTGGTGCTCCTAACTTGCACAAGGGGTGGATACAACTAGGTTGGTAGCACAGAAATAGATGGAAAACATACTTGGATGGCATACCAGACACCAGGTGACGATTTCGTAACGACCAAACTTCATCGATCCAATTATACGTTCCTGGGTGTTCATTCTTCAAATTGGCTTTTTCGGCTGGGTTTCCTTTAAGGAATACCTTGACGAACGCTCTCAGTGTTTGATAACATGAGCTATCTGTTCCCTTATAAAGATGAATGTTGGTGTTCGCACATGGGGATTTGTTCACCCTGCTGATGTAAATATCAATAGCATCGTTAAGATTCTCCTTAAGTTTATTGTCATCGATCTTACCAGTTTTGGAGTCAAAACAAGAACCATTCAGAGTCGAAGGGATAAACAAATTGCTATGGCCGAGAGCCAGGCATCCGTTCTGCAACTCCACTCTGTTTCGGTTGCTGGAGCCACTATCTCTAGTGGTTACTATGAGCACTTTAGATGACTTTTCGAGGTGGTAGTTAGTCCACCAAAATTGAACCTCCTTGTGTGACGGCCCTTCATCATGCCCTCCATCCACTCTGACACAAACCTTACTCTTTTCTCTCTCCGGTAATATGGTTGAAAAACGCTGGCTCCACCTCTGAATATGTCTCAATCACATTCAAATCATGTGCATGTTGTGCGGGATTCTTCTGATGAAGTGGGATGGCCTTAACAATGCCAGCACATATCTCTGCTGTTGTGCCTGTGCTGGAAAAGTTGTATGAAGTCGTTTGAAGTGTTGACGGGTATTTGTTCACATAGTCTGTCTTGGTGGTGAGTGGAACACTATCCTGTATGCACAATGTTGCTTGCTTGTTATGGGTGGCTAAGGTATCTAACCGAAACCCAGCCTGGTCATCTCGATTTATGTTGATGATATCTGTGCCGTCTTTGAGCTGCAAAGCATCAAGGGCCCTGTATAGGGCAGATGACCAATGCTTATCTGGATTATATCGTATTGTAAAGCCTTTTCGGGCTCGGCGACATGTGACCTTTGCAAGGCCTTTATACCGACTGGCAGACAACCGTCTTTTTGTTTCTTGCAACACAAAGTTGCACCACAGTCCCATATCCAAACCTTCTTTGGTAAACTCGTTCCAAGTGCTCTTTTATTCTACTGAAAGTTGCTTTTTTTCAACTTTCCGATTTCCATCAAATGTAAGAATCCCAGTTCTTCTCCAACTCTCAGCTCCTACTCCAGCACTCTTCACATAATTCTCAATGGTGGAACCAATATCTGGGCACTCTTTTAGAATTTTTCCAACATTCTTCCCTCTCTTTCGTCTCAGAAACCTAGCCTCTGCTATCCTCTGGGCTGCTTTTCGTCTTGCATTTATTTTTAACTGCTTCACCTTTTGGGAGATAATGGCCCGTGCTTCAGGTTGTAGGGGATCATGAATGTTTCCCCAATCTGCACCACTTTCTTCAGTTTCAGATCCGATGGCATCATCATCCACATCTGACTGGTTTCCTTGTAGTCTTTCTGAAAGAAGATATGCCTGTCTGCTCTGTTCTATAATAGACTCTTCCCTTTCATTCAACTTAAGCAACTGGATTTGGCCACTGAAGTCTAAGAGGATCTGATCTATGGCAGCTTTGGTGTAGCCGCTTAACTTCTGTTCAATAACTTCAACAAAAAGAAACCAGTTAAGTTCACAGGCTCTTAGTAGGTCCATCAGTTCTTGAGAATTCTGATACACTGATCCTGTATCGGTTATTTGCTTGCTGAGAGAAAACTGATGAGTTATGTCAATCACCACTGAATCTCCAGTCGTGCCATTCACTGGGTCATCCTCTTGTGACTCCCTATTATTGTCTTCCTCCTCATTCTCTGTATCAGTTTCACTTTCTTCATCATCATCACTATCATCACTGTCAACTTGAATACCGAATGATGACAGTACAGCTTTTTCTTGAATAGTTGCAATGGAGTCTACCGCCTCCCTGATTTCTCTTGCTTCTCTTAAAGCATTTTCTACTCTTTCCTTTCTTCTCTGTATATCTTCAAAACCATAGATGCTTCTTAACTTTGTATTGCTTTGCCCAGATGCTGCAGCAACAGCATAGGTAATCCTTTCCCTCTCTGCATCTGACTCGACAGCTGCTAAAACGTCTTTAATAGGCGTTACACTTTTCTTGACATGCTCTTTACCAAAGATGTCAAATTCACTGTCCAATCTTGACAAGAGGCTTCGAGCTAATTCTAAATTGCTTTCCCTTGGAACAAGGAAAACTGCATGGTTATTTTTCTCTTTTATCCTGATAGCAGCGAGAGGCATTTGGAGAAGTTTTCTTTTGGCATGTGTTGACTTATACTTCACACCGGGGCTGGATATTGAGAATGCTTCATTTAATCTAATGTACCCATCATCAGCAATTCGTTTTGCAACTGTTAACAATCCAGTACACAATTTACAAGGTTGGGTATGTTCTGCAATGCATATTTTTTCCTTTGTGGCAACGTAACTCTCTAAAGTAAATCCTTGTAATGCAGAAATGTCAGTAAAATCATCAACTCTAACACAGTAAGACAAATCTTTAAAACTCTTTAACAAAATAACGTCACTGTCAGGCCCCTCAACATATCCTGAGGGGCTTTCCACAAAATCCTGCTCAGATGCCACAGAAACTTGGGGACTGTTACTGAGCTGTGTAGCCTTCAAAGTCTCTTGTCCTGAAGCCACTGATACATGAGGACCACTGCTTTCTTGGTCTAAAGCCTCAGGAACCATGGAAGGACTGCCGGGCTGTGTAGTGGTACAGCTTTCTTGCCATAGAACCACAGGGGCCTGACTGGGATTCATCTTTTTTTATTGTTGGTTCCTTTCCTGTAAACGTCAATAGAGGCCTGATTCGAAACTGTGACACCAGTGCTTTGGTTTGCCTTTTTTTTGTACCACTTACACTTCTTTTCTTTCCTTTGAAACAACTTAAGCTCTTTCTGGGCCTCAAAAACTTCCTTCCTTAATGTGGCCATTTCCTTCTGTAGCTTATCACACGTCTCCCAGTCTTTAGATGCCTGTGCTTTACTTTGACGAAGCTGTTTGTACTTCAGTTGCTGCTGCTTTCCTTCTATGTCTTCAAGAAGCTGGGCAGTGTGTTCCTTTCTGAATGTGTCCGAGGTATATTGTTTCTTGGATGGTACTGGTTCTACTTCCTCAACTGATTTTGATCGGGATTTTCCTTTCTTAAACACAAAGCAACTATCACCCCTTACTGCCTCTTTGGCTTTCTCATACAGGATACCCCTTTGGTCAAGCAGGGAAGGATTCTCAAGAGCCAGTTTACCTGCAGCCTCATTTACTGAAATCTGGTAGGGTGTTAACACCTTGTCTGACGAGCCCTTTCCATATATCATGGCTGCACTGATCACCTGTTGACTATTTTTTGTACTCTGTCCAGTCACCTTTGACACAAACAAAAAGAACTATCTATTAAAAGACAATCAATCACTTCATTTTCACATTTTAACCAATTTTGATGAGAAAATATTTTTCTTCTTACAGTACAACTAGAGTCCCAGCATAAGAGCAACAAAACAAAATACCGATCAGTATTGACAAATGAATAGTTTATGGATATTTTTGTTTTTCCCCATGACTTCTCCATGCAAGAATTCAATGTATCAAAATAACTTGAATACCAAATGTATAAAATATTATTGGTTTATTAATCCTGAAACATGGAGTAGGACGCTTCTTGAAGGTGATTTTCTATGTTGAAATCTGTTGTACTTACATTTCACTTTAAGAATTCAATATATAAACCAATATACACTGATGGAGAAAACAGGTCCTTTACAGTCATGTATGAATATTAATCATGATTCAGTAAACTCAAAGTGCTGAATTTATAACAATGGAATGCCATTATTAGTAATTACTTGCTGCAGACAGGCATGGGCATTATTTCCTTCATTAACCATAAAATTACTGAACCAGACTACCATTGAACAAAATACACTCACAAGGATCACTGACCTTTACTTTGGGGCCAATCCCTATCTTGCCATTGTTTATGACAAGTGTTGATTGACTTCCTGAGCAAACTATAAATATAAAAGAATAAACACTACTACTATAATGGCACTATTTTATCTACTGGCATATGTAATCTAATATGTTTCATTAGCAGATGCCTGATAAGCCTTCTTCTATTTTACTAAATTCATGAAACTGTGGAAGTGTGCAGATCGTCGAAGGTGGCGGAAGAATAACAGATTTTCTAAGCCTATCTATTTACAGCTTCAGTAGAGAAAAATGTTCAAGCTTTTGTCTGGTATGAAAGGTGTCAATAAATTTGATTACCTGTGGTTGTTGATATCGCACATATAGTGGGTTCAACAGCTGGGACATGGCTTGACGGCTGTATATATCAGCAAACAAAGTTAATTAGCGTTTGTCACACAATAGAAGTGGTACTGCCCAGTTAATGTGAACAACAGAGATGTATTGAGGCCAGAGAGCAAAATACCACATAATTATATTTTAATGAGTAAATATTTTTCTAAAAATCATTCGGAAATTTGGCAGCCCTTTCATTGTGACTGTCTCTGATTGGAGTTACTTCCTTAATTCAGCCAATCAAACAAAGAAAATCATACAGACTTTATAAATCAACTACAACAATAGCTAAATATTCAAATCCTATCACATATTGCACACCTTTGAAATGACACGCAACTTTGACTTGTCTTCTACAACAGCACTCGAATCAACATCAATAAATTCTTCCCACTCTTTGTCAAATTTCTGTAACAATATTTCGCCTTCAATTCCAAATGCATCCTTTATTAGTTTAACCATACAGTTGCCCTCTTCTACAGAGAGAACTTTACGCCTTTCGCCAAACTCAACCAGAACCTGGAACAAAGTAGCACTATATCAAAAGCTGCACAACACTGATTTGAACAAACAACGATTACACAAGATCCTCTCAAAACACTCCAAATTGTATTTCTTGTAGACAAAAATTTTTTAGGGTAGAATTATTAAAAAATTGACATAGAAAGTATCAAAAAATAAGATTATTTAATAAAGCACTACTGTCATTATTTGGTGAGATTTGGCACAGGTTTCTGGATTCATCTTCTATGCCACGACTGGAATAGGTCGTATTCCGCTTTCATCGAACTGATGTTTGTAACTCGGGTCCAAAATTGACCAGAATTTCATTTAATTTAACATTTGAAGTATACTAGCAAATCTATAAACACAGAGTATCGAAAACTTGAGGCAGGGTGGCATACTTTGAAGACAGGTAAGTAGGAAGTAAATTTTGATCTAAATGAGCTCTTGTGCGAATATTTCTTCTCAAAACTGAACGAAAAATACCTTATGTTATTAGAACGTTAACGACAGAGCACTGATGGGCATAAAAAACAACGTTTTTGCTTTAAAAAAAGCAACACGACACTCCTTACCTTTCTTTCAGCCATCCTTGGACGCGGGAAACTCGCACAAATGACTTCTGGGTATTTTCCAAGATGGCGGACCAGTCACTCATTCCCAGGTTCTCTCCGCTTTTCAAGATGGCGGCTGAGTCAAATTTCCCACCCTGGGGACCTTTGTGGATGTCAAAATCCCCACCCACGTGCGCTTTACGAAGTCTAATTCCCGTGGGTTGCCCGGCCCCCCCGTCCTGGGGCAAACCATTGATAGGTGCATTAAGCTTATGGGGTAAACGTGCTATAAAATTAAAAGGTTTTGAGCTTGTAATCATTGCAGTGAAATAAGTTTTCAAGCATTGTTTTTATCTTCTTATTTTTTACACGATTTTTGTCTTTCTTTGCTCATTTTCCCCATGTGCCTTACACATATGTGAGGTGAAATGGTAAAAACCATCCGTCGAGCTTTTTTCACTATTCCTTAGTAAAACATGCACAGTGTGTGTGGTGTCAGTAATTGTGCTCACATTTAAGCAGGTTTATTTTTAGAGAAAATATCTTTGAGATTTATGAGAGAGCATATGGGGCGAAGTTTAGGTTTGGAAATTTGTTAGAAAATGGAAATAAAAGTCAATGGTGAGTTGTTGTTGTCCTTTATATCACACGAAGTTTCGGAAAAAATAGTCTCCTTCATCTTTCCTACATAGTATAGTGACAAGGTAGGAAGCTGACGGCAGCGCTGGGGCTCTTATGGACCCCAAACCAGCATGATTTTTTTCGCGAAAATCGAATCCAGTTGCTAAATAAACACGCCAGGCTCGTGGAACATGAATTTCTCTAAAACCTGACTCCAGCTAGCAATGCAAAGCCAGTAGTTTCTGTAGAACTTATATGTTTACCTATTAAAATGACAGCCAGAAGCCATTAGAATCACAGCTGGTCCAACTGAGCTCGGGATGCCTGGTGACGAGTATAATGAGTCTCCATGGAGGGAAGGGAGCACCACTCAGCATCTGACTGCACCCTTCCCTCGACGGGGACTTAATTATTATACTTGTAACCAGGCACCTCGAGCTCAGTGCCATCTTTTAGTTGGACCAGTTGTCAACTGGATTCGATCTTCACGAAAAAAAATCGTGCTTGTTTGGGGTTGATCGGAGTCCCAACGTTGTTGTCAGCCTCCTACCTTGTCACTATACTATGAAGGAAAGATGAAGGAGACTATTTTTTCCCGAAACTTCATGTGCATATAAAGGACATCAACAACTCGCCACATGGTAAGTTTCGTTGATTTTTATTTCCACTTCTAACAAATTTCCAGACCTAAACTTTGCCCTGTATGTTGTCTATATTTAGTTGTGCTAGATGAAGCCCATATGTGGCACAAATAGTGAGCCTGGATTACCTATGGTTCCACTGTGCAATTACCCTCATTAAATTATTAATCCTTTAATTTTGCTCAAAATATTTACAGTTATGACTTAATATTGACAACAATGTAGTTAGAACCGCATTACTTTGTACAGATGAAAAGGCATTGTGTTACCTTTGTGCAAGTAATATTACTAAGAGGGGGTTCAGTAAAAATTGAAATTTTATTGTCCACTGGACAAGTGGATTTTATTTTTTTTTCCTTCCCTGGATAACCAACTTTCAAACAATTAACAGTATTATTTTTAGCAACAAATCAGTCAGCTACAGTAATTCTCTTGATAAACAGAACAAATGCAACACAGAAACCTAAGTTGCCTTAAAACGTATTAGATTATTATAGTACTGTTAGTCATTGTAACCTACTACTGCAGTGTGAGTAGAAGTTATTGTCTAGTAGTAAAACACTTTTAATTTTCCAGAAAAATGTCTGTGCATGGCAAATTGAACATGAAGCACTCATTGTAATTCTCAGAGGCCACCTGGGGGCATGAAAACCTGAACCGAAAGCTTGCCTTAATGATCTGAACAGGTAGGTAACAATGCAAACCCACCGCCACCCTCCCCGTGGCTGTTACTACATAATCATTATGTTATCTTGAAGACAAATTTGCTGTTGTTGCCTCAATACCAAGCAGAATGCATGATGCAAATGTCTTAAAACCATTCACTCTTTAATAAACAGTGAAATACACGTAAACCAATTTATGTATTTGTTGTAGTTAATTTTTTATATATCTCAGGTAAATTTTGTTTTTCTTTTGTTTTTGGGTATGGTAATGTTGCTAATGAAGCTGAAAAATAAAAATTACCCGAGATAAAAAAAAAATAACTATCACATATACATGTACATCCATAGGAACCTTGCAAGAAGCCATCACTCAAGACACCACATACACTGAAGCAGTCAGTAAAATACTGAAAACATGCACTATTGTGCAGTTCCAGGAAAAATATCCATACCCCCCACAGAGGGAACTTTTACTTTAGTTCCCCACCTCCCCCCACTGGAATTTCCATTTTATACTGTAGGGGTTGGTTGTTATAGTCCCCCACCCTCTGGAATTTGGTTGAGAACCCTATGGGAAGTATATTTGTGTCAAAAATGTTGTATTTGTTGCACTATGTTTTTTTATACAGAAAAAAATTAATTATTAATTTTTTTCTGCAAGAAAATGTGAAAAGATCATATCATTCATGTGAATAAGGTGGCTAATAATCTCAAGGATGTCCTTACCTAATGATAAACCATACAGACGAAACCTTATACTACGGACTACACGAAAGATGTCATCTACAAAACAACCAGTTACATTCAAACTAAACACCACGTGAAGTTTCATTACTTCATTTTAGTTAGAACGTGTTGCAAGAAGGCTTAGAATACAACCAAATTATAGTGAATCAATTGTGTAATAAAGCAACACCTAGCTTATGAGCATGCTCTTCTAATTGGGCAAGTGAAGTGAGCCTAGCGAGATTGCGCTGCCCCTTGCTCGCGCATTCTCTCTCGCAAAGCTCGCTTCACTTGCCTAACTAGGATAACTTGCTCGCAGGCTAAACAACACCTGAAGGTTTATTCATGAGCCGATGACAATTATTGTATTAAAGAAAACTATTGAAAAAAGCATTTAGCCGACCGTAGGTAAAACATGATCAATGCTAACAATAATACTTGTTTTGAAACACTGGTAACAGTAAATAACTGATAGTTTTCTCAACAGAGAAGCTGCTATTTATTATTAACTGACCAATCTTACTCAAACCCCCTGGCAAAAGACCTCTGTAAGCAACCCCCGACTCCCTTGGAAATTGCCTCCTTTTTGACACCCCCCCCCCCCCCCCATCGGAATTTCCATTGCCCTTCGTGGGGGATTATGGATATTTTCTGCAACTACACATTACACTTGCCAAAGGGAGGCCGTAGTGGGATAAAAGAGTTTTAAAATTCTTCAAGCAAAGCAACCTTGTTATAAAAAAGACAAATGCAAATGTCATATTGGCTACTGATTCAGTAAACAGTACTACTGATTTTTGTAACCATTATTTCTCCAGGACAATGTTCATGTTATACTGTCTTTTTTTGTAGGAGTAAAATGCTGGGAAAGGGAAATGATACATGTCCAGTTGAAAGTTGTATCAGATTTCAACCGAGATGTCCATGTGAGAAAGGTTGACAGGGATGGAAGTAACTAATAACTTTCCAACTTCTGGTAGGCTCAACCCGGAAGCCCCAGTAAGCGTTACGCCAAGTAAAGGGAATTTGGGGACCACACGAGGCAAAGAGAATGTGTTTTGACCTCGGCATGATTCGCACCCACAGACAATCTCCAAGTTGGATCTGCTGTTGCTCTACTGATTATGCCATGAACCCTGCAGGGAGCAAGTCGTGGGTAATTTGTGTAGCAGATCGCATAGAGGGTAGAATGTGTAATTAAGTAAACTTACATACCTAATACTGATCTCAGTATTATCTGCCATGTACATTGTTAGTACTGTGTAGGAAATGATGCAACAGACAATTATCTCTGGAGTGAAAAATCATCGACTGCTACAAAAAATCCTTTAAACCGCGATTAGCATCTATTTTAACAAAAAAAAACACCAACATCAATACAATCGACTTTTCGTTATTGTTTCAGAGTTCCTGTCGCTGCCAAACTGCGGGAATTGATATCGAAGCTGCTGTTCCTGGGAGGTCTAAGCAAGAATTTGACTCTCGGCATCCACAAGTGAGTGCTTTGAGTTTGTAAGTCTTCAGATGCCTAGATTTCTGGCCTCTTTAGCTTTATACCCCAATCTAAAATTATCAATGCAGACAATGGGAATCCTGGTTTGTTTAGGAATTGATTTTTTTGTGGAAATTTGACTGAGTGTATAGGCGTTGTGACGTATTTCGCGTAAACCACTGACACTCAAACTGATATTACACAATAAATCAGGGAACAGAAAAATGTGGGGATACCACGCTAATTTGGGTGCTTCTTAAATTGGAACCTCATTCTAACATCTTCGTTTGTTCCTATCTCTACAGGTGATGGTAGCACGCTTTGGGATTGCCAAGTAAACTCTATTGACCATGATTCTATTTTTTCCGCTTTCTTTTTTTAAAGAGAAGGAGGTCCACTTTACTCCGATCTAAAATTATCAGAGCGGACAATGGGAATCCTGGTTTCTTTGGGAATTGATTTTTTTGTGGAAATTCGAAGGGGTGTATAGGTGTTGAAACGTATTTTGCGTGAACCGCTGACACTCAAACCGAATTTACACAATAAATCAGTTAACAGAGAAATGTAGGGATACCAATCCAAAATTATTAAAGTGGACAACGGGAATCCTGGTTTGTTTGGGAACTGATTTTTTGTGGAAATTCGACAGGGTGTATAGGCGTTGAAACGTATTTTGCGTAAACCGCTGACACTCAGACCGAATTTACACAATAAATCAGTTAACAGAGAAACGTAGGGGTACCATGCTAATTCAGGTGCTTTTCAAATTGTAACCTTATGCTAACTTCGTAGTTTATTCCTGTCTCTACAGGTGATGGTAGGACGCTTTGGGATTGCCAAGCAAACTCTATTGACCACGATTCTATTTTTTCCGCTTTCTTTTTTTAAAGAGAAGGAGGTCCACTTTA